TAAAATAATGGAAGAGGTGACATAGATGAAAATATGTTGTACTTATAATCTAACTTATGAAATTGTAACTTCTTTATGCAATTATTTTATAATAAAATTTTTAAATAAACTATACAACTTCTAAAAGAAAGTATAAGAAAAAGCTGTATGTCTCAGATTAGACAAGCACAATCAATAAAGTAAAACCCTAGTAAGTGGAATTTTAAAGAAAAACTTTACCTCTGCCAAAGACACTGTACAGAGAATGAAAGATATGCTACAGCTAGGGAAAAATGTATTCAAATCACATTTTTTGCAAAGAATTTATACCTCAAACAAAATTCATCAAACCTTATTTCTCTGTTGGTGGAAATATAAACTAGTAAAACCACTCTGGATAGCAGTCTGGAGGTTCCTCAAAAAACTAAACATAGATCTTCCCTACAACCCAGCTATACCACTCCTGGGCATCTATCCAGAACATTACTAACCAGGATACCTTAAAGATACTTGTACATCCATGTTCATTGCTGCCCTATTCACAATAACCAAGCTATAGAAACAGCCCAGAAGCCCTACGGTAGATAAGTGGATCCAAAATAATGTGGTACCGACACACAGCGGAGTTTTACACAGCTATTATAATGAATAATATTATGTCATTTGCAGGGAAATGGATGGACCAAGAACAAATCAGGTTAAATAAGGTAAGCCAAGCTCAGAGAAATGAACAGGTTATGTTTTGTCTCATATGCAGAAACCAGATCTAAAATACATGGGGACATGGTAAATTATACAGGGCTCTAGGCATTCATCCAGACTAAGACCAAAAGAGGATACTCTTAGGAGAGGAACACAAAGGCGCAATGCCTATGTTTATCTGACCATATAAAATAATACTTATTGAAATGAACTCTAGGAAATGGAAACAAGAAGTTTTTTCTTTGTTGCTGTTTTGGAAGGACAAAGAGTGAATAAATGAAGCAATGGTACTCACTAGACACTATTTTGAAAATGGACTATAATGGGAAAGAAAAACTTGGAGAGAGCAATGGAAGAGATGACATTGTCCAAAAAGAAATGAACTCTTTACTTGACTTACATAACTGTAACCCCTGTGTATATCACCTTTATAATAATAACAATAAAATTTTAAAACATCATCAAGAAGAAAATAAGCCACCTAGTTTAGAATGGTTAAAAAAGTATGAATAGACATTATACTATATGCTTGTCAAACAAGCATAAAGTCTTCAAGACAAGCATGTAAATTAAACCATGAAATAGATATACCACCTGACAATATCAAGTGATAACAAGAAGGGACAGCAACTGGAAATATCAAACATTGTTAAGAGATAGGAAAGAAAATATTATTTAACCATTTTAGAATTCATTTCTTCAGTTTCTTACAAAGTTAAGCATATATGTACATTTATGAAATATTTACATACATAAATATGTGTTCAAACAACACATATTCAAACAACACACTACTCTTAGGTATTTATCCAAAAGAAATGAAATAGTTTTCACATAGTCACTAAATAATCACTAAAAATGGGAAACAAATGGGATGTCCAATGACAGGCTAAGTAACTTGTGACACACTCATATAGTGGAATGCTACTCAGCATGAAAATAAAATAATTCATGTAACAACCTGGATAAACCTTAAAGGCATTTTGCTAAATAAAAAGCCAGAGACGAAGGGATATGACTCCATTTATAATGACATTTTGGAAAAAAATAGCAAAATTGTAGGTATGGAAAACTTATTGTGCTCACCAGAGACTGGGTTGAAGGGAAAGAGGCTGACCCGGGAAGTACCAGGGAATCTGGGGGTAAGATCTGTTCTGTATGCATCTGTGGCAGTAGATTTAAGACTATGGATTTGTCAAAGCCTATAGCACTATCTATTTAACAAAATCTAAGTTAAACAAAATCAGCTGGGACTTGGGCAGAACATAAGATGAAATATGTGTAGGGAGAGATTAACTGTGTTGCAAATAGATCAGACAGCCATAATGAAGCTAGTGAGGAGAAAGAACTGACTGGAAAACCATTTGACTGCACGCTGTGAGACTAAAGACAGAAAGAACTTCACTCAAACAATATGCTCTAGTGATAAAAGTGTTTCTTATAAAGCGCTATGGTTTAGATCTCAAAGTTTCCCTAAAGGTCCATGTGGAAGCATGGAGTAGATAACAGGACATGGAAGCTAGTTGAAATAAATGGGTGGGAATAATCATTCTGTCTCTTATTAGATTTATCTCTAGCAAGGTACTTAATTTCCCACGGTGTCAATCACTTCATTAGGAAAATATGACCACAACTGCTACAGCTTAAGGTTTCTGTGAAGATCACATGAGGAAATAGGTGTGTGTGTGTGCGAATGTGTGTGTGCACACATGTGTGCACACATATGTGAAAGTCTATCATCCATATGTTTTACCAAAAGATCTAGAAAGTCCACATGAGGTGACAAACTGGTGAATTTAATATTCTTATTCTTCTGTGGTACCAAGAATATATAACACCTTTGATTTTCTTGTGCTTGCATTTCTTTACCCAGAGAATACATTTCTAACTCTAAAGTGAAGTGGTTGCAGGTATCATTTGCTATCATTTGCTGCAATGTTGAATCAACAGTAGCTCTGGAAGAAAGCAAGTGCCTTTTATACAAAAATATATAGTATAATCAAAAGAATGAAAATAGCCTCTGTTGATAAGGAGTGTTCAAAATTTATCCAATTATCCACTTACTACAAAGAATTTTTCATGCCTACTGTGTACCAGGCATTGTACCTGATATTGAAAATAAATGTAATAAAATTCCTGTTTAAAAAAGCTGATAGCCTGCTCAAGGAGAAACAAAATATACTGACAATGGCTAAGTGCTGTGGGAAGAGAGAGAGTGGCCTCATAGAGGAGGCTAAATTTCTGTTGAGTTCACCAGATTGACAGCATAAAAAGAAGAGGCCTGCCAGGCAGAGTGAGCAGTGCCTGTAAGCACAAATGATACTGTCCAGGTAGGGTTAAGAGTTCTCAGGGTATAGGTGAAGAGGAGCCTTGTGGATTAGATTGAAGCCATGAACATTTTCATCATATTAAATAGGAAACAGTCCAATGAGGGAGACTATTAAGTGGTTTCGAGTAAGAGTTGAAACTATCAGGCATGTGTGTATGAAGTACTAGAGCTTGAACTCAGGTCCATAATCTCTTTTTCACTCAAGACTGGCCCTCTACTACTTGAACTACACTCCCACTTCTGGATTTTTGTTGGTTAATTGGAGATAAGAGTGTCATGGAGTCTTCTGCCTGGGATGATTTCGAACCACCATCTTCAGCCTTCTGAGTATCTAGGATTATGGGTGTAAGTCACAAATGCCTGGCTTAAGACAAGACCAATCTAGTAACTGCATAAAAGATGCATTAAAGAGAGTGAAAGGAAACTAATTAGGAGACAATTGTAGTAATACAGTGAGAGGATGTGGTCCTCAGAGATCTCTAAGATTTCCATGATTAGAAGGACATTGTTTTGTGAATGGGGACAACATGGTTAAAAACTATTGACTGAAAATCAAGAGGAAGAAGAGGGAAAAAATCAGTGTTTCCAGATACTTAAAATAATAAACTTAGATTGTAAGTACAATGGATTTTCAGCTACTCAGAGACTGAATCACTGGGAAATGCATTAGTTTACTGAAGACTTCACATTCTTGTTCTAACTTTATTTGGTTTTATTCCTAAAATTTCCAGATGGTAGAAGGGGGAAAAGAAATGAAAAACACCAAAGTTAATCAGTCTGGCTGCCTGACTGCTTAATATGGAGATCAGAGAAGTAAAATGCTTACAATAAAGTCCTAGGGATTATACGTGCAGTGCATGCACATGACCCTTATCTTTTAGTTCTACACATAAATCAGACATCACTGGAAATGAAATCATATATTTGGCAAATAATTGGGGTTTTTTGTCCTGATGTTTTAAAATACATCCTCATTGTCCACACTAAACGCTTTATTTGGTCCCTTTGCCTAAATTATGTATGTGGTGCTCATTTCTCTTTCATGGGATGACTTACAGGCTGATGAGCAGCTGTGGTTTGATGGGCATTCTCTCCAGATCTAGCCACTCTGCTATCTGGAGAGTTAGAATAGCCAGACCAATTCAATCAGACACCTGCTAAGGAAATGAAACCCTTATCTCAGACTTGAGTGTTTATTATATTACAAAGCTGGATCCATTTTCAGGTGCACCTTCCAGAGAGCAGTGAGAACAACTTTAATTGTTCTAGTGGTGGTAGCAAGTGTTCTGTCCAGCAATAAAAACAATGCAAGGCTATGCTGTCTTAATCACTATTGAAGGTTTTCCAAGTGCAAATACATACTCTTAAAGCAACACCTAAATGCATCTAGTTTTATTATTTTAAATTCTCTTAGTCGTTATTTAGTTACTCACGCTGAGTTTAACAAAAAACGAAACAAATCCTATTCACTTACCTATCAACAAGGCAAGGCATAATTTAAGCCGAAGAGACGAGGGAGCAGATTTTATGTGGTTTATTCTGCACTTGGCCATCACCAACAAGGACGAAGAGGGTGGCTGGCTTTTTCTAACATGTTTGATCTTTTAATTTTTTTGCCAGTTTTTAAGTGTTCACTAACAAATTCTGTTACTTTCCTATCGTCTAAAGCATTTTCGAACCTAGATTTTCGCCCGCTGCAGGGTACACGCTTGCCAAAATTCACCCTTTGAGGATGGCTCAGCGGACCCGGTGGACACAGACGGCTGCATAAAAACTACATTTCCCGGCGAGCCCCGCTACAAGAACAAGGCCCTCGGACGTCCTCTCTCTACGCGTCCGCACGTTCCCGGCGTGCCACGAGATACCATCCTGGGTTCCGCCCCCCGGGCGGAGGGCCCCCTTCTGGGCGGGTCAAGGAACTGCGCTTCCCAGCATGCTTTGCCCCGGTGCGCCTGCGTACGGGAGCCTCCCGGGCTAGCGGGTAGTTCAAAACGCTGTTTTGGTTCCATGGAAACCGGCCTGTTTAAGGCAGGGCGGAGACTTCGGCCGACAGATGGATTTAGGGGTGAGGCCACCGGGCCCCTGAAGGTGGGAGGCACGGGTAGAGTCGACAGCTTCGATTAGGCCACCACCTCCCCTTCTTGCTGCTCTCTGCCCTGCTAGGTTGAGCTCAGGGTCCTGGTTTCTGACCTGGGTTTGCATTGGCCTGGGGGTAGCGCAAGAGTCCCTGCACCGAGGCACCGAGGCCTCTTGGCCTAGCTCCAGCTCTACCCTTTTTTATAGTCAGGTGGAAGGGTACAAGCTCTTAGGAAGGCTGTATTTTTGTCACGGATTTTCCTCCCTGACCTACATTTTTGTTCAGTGCATGGAGCTTGTGCTGGGGCATTTTTAATGAGTTATTCTCCCATATGCCATCCATAGTGATTCAGCCACTGTGCTGGGCACTTAAGACTGAAAAAGGATGAAGAAGCTATTCTTAATTTGGAGACACTCAACGTTAATCTGTCTTGGACACCCACAATCCTCCTTGATTTGTTTAACTCAGCACTCACAACTAGGTCCTTTCTAATCTGTGTGTTACTTGGTCTCATGGCTTCACACACTATGCAGCTGCTTAAATTTAAGAATTAATCTCTTTGCCATGCAGAAGCTCAGCAATTTCATGCAATCCCATTTGTACAACTTTTCTTTGATTTGTTGCGTTCCTGGGTCTCTATTAAGAAAATTTTGGCCTGTGCCAAGGAGACCTAGGGTTTCTCCTGTTCCATCCTGTAATGTTTTCAGAGTGTCTGCTTTGACTCCGAGGTCTTTGATCCATTTGGAGTTGATTCTGGTGCAGGGTGATATATAAGGATCTGCTTTAGTTTTCTACAAGTAGTTAACCAATTTTGTCAGCACCGTTTGCTGAAGAGGCTGTCTTTCTTCCATTCTATTTTTTTAGCTCCCTTATGGAAGATTAGATGGCTATAGGTCTGTAGGTTCATAATTATATTAAGTGAAGTAAGCCAGGCCCAAAAAACATAGGTCCCATGGTTTCCCTTATTTGCAATAACTAGTATATGTTTGAGTCAAGCAGAAAAGGTCAGATAAGTTGATGTTAGGGAAATGAACCCTAAGATATGTATTCAAATGTTTTTTTTCTTTCATGCAATTGTTTCTAACACATTTATAAGATTATTTCTTTGTTGCTTTGTATGTCCCTCCCCCACGGTATTAACCCCTGTTTTCACTGTATTTGATGTTGGTATAATTTGTGGAGGGGAAGGGAAAAAACAAATCCTCTAAATAGGGATACAGGTGGACCCATTGCAACAATGAGACATACAAGTAGTTATGTGGAAAACTAACTTTACAACTTTGGTGGGGGGGGAGGATGGGATGGGAAGGGGAAACAAAGGAGGAGGCTACAATGCTTGATTAGAAATGTACTCATTATCTTGCCCATGTAATTGTAACCCCTCTGTACAGTATTTTCACAATAAAAAAAAAGTGCTAAATCAAAAAAAAAAAAAAAAGAATCTCTCCACAACCCTCCTATGAGCTCCAGACCCACAAATTCAAACATGTGTTGGGAAATCTTCTTCTGTTTTGAATTTAACATTTCCAAAGCAATTTTTAATCTTCCCTCAATCAAACTGATTCATGATAGGCTTCTCTCGCCATACTGGTAACACCATCTTTCCAAATGCTCAGGCCAAAAACCATGGAGCAAACTTTGCTACTTCCTGTTACTCTTATCTCCTATCTCATCTGTCAGCAAACCTTATTTTACCTTGGGAACATAGCAACAAAACTGAACATTTCAGCAATTATGGAAAAAATTTAGGTGGAACACACCATCCTGTTCAAAATATGTAAAGGAACTACCTGTTCTATCTTCTGTATCTTTTTCCAAAGATACTTTTTGCTATATCTGTGCTAGTATTAAGTGCTTGGCTTCCAATATAAATTAACATAGGCAATATAGATTGTAGGCCCAACTTGACCCTATCAAGTTGCCATAGAAATTGTCCGCTTTGCTGCCCCCTAGCAGTGTTGTCATTTCATTTGTCCAGTCTGCTTATTCTTTTCATCAACTATTGCAGAGACTACTATGTATCAAAAGAAAAGTGTTTAAAAACAAAAGGCCAGGCTCCATTTGGCTCACACCTGTAATCCTAGCTACTCAGGAAGCAGAGATCTGAGGATCAAAAGGTCTGATGATAGCCTGGGCAAGAAAGCCTGGAGACTCATCTCCAATAAGCTCAGAAAAAGCCAGAAAAGGCACTGAGACTCAAGTGGTAGAGCTGTGGCCTTGAGCACTAGGAGACAGGGACAGGACCCAGGCCCTCATCCCAAGCCCCAGGACTAGAAGAAACAAAAACAAAAAACAAACAAACACCAAGTTCTTCTCATATGAAAAGGTTTAACAAATATTCATTTGGGATGCGGGGGGGGGGGTAGGTCATACTAGCACTTATTGAACCTTTTCCTTATATTTTCCTGACTTTGTTTATAGTTAGGCATCTGGCATTGTATAGATGACTAAAGGAGAGCTCTCAAAGGACGAAGAACAAGGACTAGTGTCAAAAGGAAGAAGAACAGGACTAGTGTCATAATTTCTATCTTTCTTAAGGGAAAAACAAAAGTCTCCCCAAAGCCTTTACAAACAAAGCTCTTACAAAGCCTGTACACACTTCTGCCTTAAATCCCACCGGCCAGGTTATATCACATGGTTATGCTAGCTTCGGGGGAACCTGGACGTATAAATTCTCCAACTTCTTTTGGAGGGTCAGTGGTGTCTACCAGAACTCCTTTTTTATAGTACCCTTCCCAATGTAGCTTATTTCTAGGTAAATAATAACTAGACAACAGATGACATAAAAATAGATCGGAGCTTCAGTATGTGTTTCTTCAATTTTCATCCTCAATTTTCTTCTTACATATTCTAGGCCTGGTGTTTGGCAGAAGGTCTTACTCAGAGCTTCTTTATATTACCCAGGTAATACCATCCTAGCTCATGTAATCACATGGCCCAAGAAACTCCATATCTGGCTTTTTTTTTTTTTTACAAGTTTAGAGGAACTTTAAGTCATTATATATCTAGAGACTCCATTAATATGGACATGTGTCTTTTGTGTTTTTCTTCAAAACAAATGGAAAAATAGGAAAAAGTAACTTATAGATGGGAATTTCTTACTCCATATCTTTAAACTGATTGTTAGCAACAAATCTCTTAAAGAAGGCAACAAAAAATTGTCAGAACTGAATACTGTTTCACAGAGGAGCATGAAGGAGAAATTCTAGTCAGAAGCATTATGTGAAAAGAAAAATGTAAAAGTCATTTTTCTGGGATCTGTGGGGAAAAGATAGAAGGTAGTTTTAATCTGTTGTCTGTTGCTCTAATACCTCAGATGGTTAGTTTGACAAAAGTAGAGTCTATTTCTATCAGGTTTGAAATCTGTGAAAGCATGATGTCGCAGTCATGATGGCCGCCTCACAACCTGATAGAAGGAGCACATGGTAAAACAAGCAAGCATGTTAGCCTGGGTCACTCTTCATTGGAGTTTTGATCTTCATGACTGCCAAAGGCAGTATCTCCAAATAGCATAAAAATGAATTTGGTGGTTAAATTTCTAGTACATGAACTTTTAGGTGACATTCAAATAAAAGCAAAGAAGAACTACTTTATGATGAAGAAATGTCTGTACTGAATCTGGCAGTATTCTATTGGCTTGGCAATTAACTCAGCTTTTCCACAGCACACCCTCCCCTATCATACTTTTGGTTCCTGTAACCAGCCCTACTGCTTCATAACTTTCTGCCCTAGACATTAGAGATTAATTTTATGTTATCTATCGGACCCAAGGTAGCACTTTTGCTGCCTGAGAAATGAGGGGAAGAGAGATGTCAGATTACAGAACTAATGGGTACAAAAGCAAATTTCTAATATCCCAACTTGAACATTTGGGATCACATTCCCACAGGAACACTGTTGTAATCAGTGGCCAAGATTTATAATATGATTAGTATATAGATGTGCATACAAGATGGAGCTACAGAAAATTGTCCATATGAGTTTCCACTACCAACCATGTATAAAATAATTCTGCTCACGAATTCCTGAAAGAGAAATCTCATTTCTTTTCATTATTTAGCATCATGATTTACTTGGTATTAGTGACTTAGAAATAACCAATATGAGCTGGGAGCTGGTGGCACACAGTGTAATCCTAGCTACAAAGGAGGCTGACATCTGAGGATCACAGTTCAGAGCCAGCCCAGGCTGGCTGTGAAGTGGCACTGGGCTCAAGTGGTAGAGCGCTCGCCTGGAGCTGAAGAGCTCAGGGACACACCCAGGTCCAAGGTTCAAGCCCCAGGACTGAAAAAGAAGGGGGGAAAAGAAATAACTCATATGTTTATTTTTTTTTCTTTTTGTGTGCTGGTCCTGGGGCTTGAACTCGGGGCCTGGACTCTGTCCCTGAACTTTGGCTCTGTCACTTGAACCACAGCTTCACTCTGGCTTTTGTGGTAGTTTAATGAAGATAAGAGTGTCACAGACTTTCCTGCCCAGTCTGGCTTTGCACTGTAATCCTCAGATCTCAGCCTCCTGAGTAGTTTAGGATTACAGGTGTGAGCCACTGGTGCCTGGCTTGTTTTTAAGAAAATCACATATTGGCAAGTATAAGAGAAAATTCAGATTAACTTCATTTGAGGTGTCTTTTTTTTTAGTTAATAAAATTGTATACATTACAGGATTATAGTTTGATAACAATACATGTTTATAAAAAGTAATTAGCATTTCAGAGTAATTAGCATTTCCCTCTCAGACATTTATCATGTATTTTGAGAACTTTAAAACTTCTTTGTAATTCTTTTTTTTCTTTTTTTTATTGTGAGAATACTGTACAGAGGGGTTACAATTACATGGGCAAGATAACCAGTACATTTCTTATCAAGCATAGTTGCCTCCTCTTTATTTCCCCTTCCCATCCCTTCCCATACTCCCCCCCCCCCAAAAAAAAGATGGAGAAACGAGATTCTTTTTTTTTTGTCTGTCATGGGGCTTTAATTCTGGGCCTGGGCACTGTCCCTGCGCTATTCAGCTCAAGGCGAGCGCTCCACCTCTTGAGCCATAGCACCATTTCCTCTTTGTAATTCTTCATAAAACATTTAAGAATAAATAATTGTGAACTACAGTCACTCCAATGTCATACATTAGAACTGATTTTTTCCCATGCACCTGTATTTTGGTATCTGTGATTTGTTAAGAGTTCTTTTGTGCCCTGACATATATCCTGTGCTGGGGAAAGAGAAATGTATATTCTGCAACCATTGGATAAAATATTCTGTAATGTCATTTGGTCAGCTGACATTTCTTTGTTGATTTGTTGTTGTGTTTTTTTTTAAACCTGGATAATCTGTCCATTGATGGATGTGAACTACTGAAGTCCTTTATAATATTGTTTTGGAGTCTTTTCTCCCATTAGATTTAATGTTTGCTTTGTAAAAATGGACTTGCTGTGTTGGGTGCATTTGTATTTACAATTGGTATATTCATCTGTTGAATTGATCCTTTTCTCATTATTTAGTAACCTTCTTTGTCTTTGTTTACATTTTTTTACTTAAAGTTTATTTTATGTAATATAGAAACAGCTATTCTTGTTCCTTTTTTTTTCTATTTGCCTGACATTATTTTTAACTTTACTTACAGTCTATGTGTTTCTTTACCATTCTTGGAGTATGTATGAGAGCATTTCTGAAGGTTAGTAAAGCCTACTGTGAATATGTTTTGTAGGCCCCAAAGGAGGAAGCCTGCTAGTGTAGTTATTCACTCTTTTGCTGCTTCTGGCTGTCATGCCCAGCCCTACATGATGGGCTGAAACCTCTGAAACTGTGAACCAAACATAAATCTTTTCTCCTTCAAGTTATATTTGTATAGCAATGAAAAAGTCTGAATAACACAACAACTTGATAAAAGAAGGGTTTGTGGTTCATAGTTTCAGAAACTTGAGTCCATTGTCACTTGGCTCATTGCTGTGGGCCTGTGGTGAAGCAGAATATCATGGTAGAGAGTGTAGTGGACCAGAGCTGCTCCCTTATTGGCAGCCAAGAAGCAGAGAGACAGGTAAAAGCTAGGAACAAGATAGAGCCTTCAAAGGTATACCCCTAATGAACTTAAACCAGACCTTACCTAATAGGCCATTCAGTATGAATTCATTCATGGATTAATCTATGGGCATTAACACTTTTATGATCCAATCACATCTCTGTTTGGCTCCACCAGATGGGGACCAGGTCTTTAACATGAGAGCCTTTTGGGGAATCGTAACATTATCATGAAAACATCTGGTGACAAAAAAGAATATTCTTCCCTCAGCTAAGCTACAGGTCCTACTTTGTGGCAAACTATAGCAAATAGGATATACTAAGTTATAATGCAATAACAACCTATTCAACAATCTCATTGGCCTGCAACAACATAGGTTTATTGCTCACTTACATATGTCATGGACAGAGGTCATAGACCCTAGACAGGGAGAAAGCCTTATTTCTAATGTTGCTTGTCTCATGGAGGTGAACAAAAGGGAGAGATGGTGAACAACAACCTGAGGTTAAAGCTTCTACTCATATTTATTTTTTTATTTTTTTCTACTCATAGTTAATTGGCCGAAGTATGACATATGGCAGCTCCTTGGGTTAAAAGGATACTAATGCATAGTCCTCCCATAGGGAGATATAATGACTATTCTGATCAATAAGTGAGCCTACCATGTTAATATTGAGACTTTAATCTTAGGTGCATATGGAAAATAGAATGTGCAGACCTGTCATCTCTCCAACCCATGTCAATGCTACAGCTTCTGAAGCATTCACAGTTCTTCAACAAAGGATGAGAGTAGTTGAGGAACAGACCAGTTCTCTGAGAGATGACCTACTAACGTTGGACTATGGTGAAAAAAGGTAACAAAGACAAATGAAGTAGATTGCTGCAGGTTAGGAAAATTTTTCTTTGCTGCTTAGAAATAAGGGATCTCAATGGTTTGGCAGAGAATTGAGAAATAACTTTAATTTGAATGTAAGTTTAAAAATATTTGCCAGATAAAGAGTTGTCATTCTGTGACAGAGTCTGTTAAGTGTTTCATTGCCATGACAAAATAACTGAGAGAGCAATTTATTTTTAGCTCATTATTTTAGAAGTTTGAATCCATAGTTATCACTATGGGTCTGTGGTAAGCCAAAGCATTTAGCAAAGAGGATATAGTGCATTAGAGCTGGCTGCTTATCATGACAGTCAGGAAGGAAAGAGAGGAGTAAGGAAGGGAGAAAGAGAAAATGAATGAGGGGGGAGGGGGGAAGGAGAAGGATTGGGATTGCGGGGGGTGGGGGGAGGCTGGGAAGTGATGTGAAGGGTAAACAAAGGAGGAGGCTGCAATGCTTGGTAAGAAATGTACGCATTATCCTGCCCATGCAATTGTAACCCCTCTGTACAGTATGTTCACAAATAAAATTAAATTAAATTTAAAAAAATTAAAAAAAAACAAAGAAAAGAAAAATAGAGAAAATGAATGAGAAAGGAGCAGGAAGGGTCCAGGCCCAGATATATAGCCACCCCCGCCCCCCACCAGTTGACTTACTCCAGTCAGGCCCTACTTCCTAATAGCCCATTCAATATGAACTGGACAGATCCATTGATGAAATTACCACCCGCACAATCCAATAGCCTCTCAGTAATTAAACTCACCAGCTGGGGATCATGCCTCTAACACTTGAGCCTGTTGGGTAACACTTTCTGTACAAACCATAACACAGAGCTATTGGCATTATTCTTTATAGTTAAAGAAAATGTGAGTTAGGGTTGAGTTCCATTTGCTCATGCCTGTAATACTAGCTGGGAGTCTAAAGAATGTCACAGCTTAAGACCAGCCCAACCTAAAAGTTCTCGACTCCTTTACAACCCGTTGCTGGGTTATGTCTGTCACTCCAGGCTAAATAAGAAGCTGAGATTGGGCATGTTTTGTAGTAGGCACAAAAGTCAGAGGAACTCAATCTCCATGAAACAGAAGTTGGGCATGGTGGTACCTGCCTGTGATCTCATCAAAGCTGAAAAATGGAGGCTCAACCAGTGAAACATAGGGCTCAATGATACTGTGCCAGCCTAGAAAGAGTGAAGCCTTGAGTTCAAATCACCTGTACCTCAAAAAGAATATTACTTAGGTATAAAATTTTAATATTTTGTTTACCTTTGAAATGATTGAAAACCATTTTTCTTGTTATGAAATTTTTAGTTCTAATTTAAAATCTACTGAAGGAAAAACTTGAAATGTTTCATGCTATTAATTTTATCATTAGTTTCTCCTATATCAAATTAAAAGAAAGATTTGAAATCTTTAAAGTTTTCACAATTTAGAATAAGATACTAAAAAACTTCATCCCTAGTGCTACTAAAAAAGTTTTTGGCTTTAAAAGTTGGCCCAGTAGCTTGAGGAATCTGGTACTTTAACCATCAGTATGAAATTTATTGGCATGATTTAAAATCACACCAAAATGTACATTTCCTGCATGAACCCAATTAAGACATAAAACTAGTATACCTTTGTAGCACCTGTGGATAAGAAACACTTTATATTTTCAGAACCAAATTGTTGAGTATTGGGGTAAAACAATAAGCGTGTTTATTATGAAGCTGGGTGCTGGTTGGTTCACACCTAATATCCTGCTATGAATCTTATAGAGCTACTCAGGAGGCTGAGAGCTGAGGATTGCAGTTTGAAGCCAGCCCAGGCAGGAAAGTCCCTGTGAAACTCTTATCTCCAATTAACCACTCAAAGACCAGAAGTGGTGCTGTGACCCAAAGTGGCAGAATGTTAGCCTCAAGCAAGGGAGCTCAGGGACAACTCCCAGGCCCTGAGTTCAAGCTCCACAACCAACAAAAAGACAAAAAATGTTCATTATGATTCTGTTCAAATCCTTCTAAACCCTGTGACTACATTGCCTCTGTCCTAACTTTCACTCTTAGCTAACTATTGTAGAATTAATCTTTGTTATAATTTAGGCAACATGTTTTGTTATGACATGAAAAATAAGTTTACAAAAATTCATATTAAAGCTGGTAGCCCACATCTGTAATCCTGGCTATTGGGAGGCTGAGATCAAAGGATCATTGTTCAAAGCTAGCCCAGACAGGAAAGTCTGGGAGACTCTTATCTCCAATTAACCACCAGAAAACCAGAAGTGGCCATGTGGCTTAAAGTGGTAGAGCACTAGCCTTGAGCGGAAAAAGCTCAGGGACAACACCCAGGCCCTGAGTTCAAGCCCCCTGACCTACCTCCCCCCTCTCCAAGAAATTAATATTAAAACCACTCTTAAAAAGTCAATGATCTGTATCCATTCCATACTATATTCATCTCCTTTCTTTCTTTTTCCCTTCCTCTCCTTTTGTCTTTCCTTCCTGCTTCCTTTCTTCCTTTTTCTCTTCCCTCCCTTTCTCTTTGCCTCCCACCCTCTCTCCCTCTTCTTCTCCCTCTCTCCCTCTTTTATCTTTGGTACTAGGCTTTGGCTTCAAAGCCTCACATCTGGTAGACTATACACCTAAGCCATATCCTTCCCCAGCCAGCCCTTTTTAGGACTTACCCTCTTTCCCTTATAGTATATTCCATATTTGGATTTAGCGAGGTTAATAAATATTTGTTAATTAAGGAATTACATTATTCTTCTCCCTTTTAGGTTTGTCCTGTTTGACTATTTTTGCTTTTGTTATCTGTTTTTTTCAATAAGTTTTTTTTATTGTGAAAATACTGTACAGAAGGGTTACAGTGACATGAGCAAGGTGTTATCTGTGTTTTGAAAGTTATATCCAAGAAATCATTGTCAAGTACAAAGTAAAAGCGTTCCCTTTCATTTTCTTTTTTTTTTTTGGTTGGTCATGGGGCTTGAACTCTGAGCTTGGGTGCTTTGTTTTGCTGTTCTTGCGCTCTTCAGCTCAAGGCAAGCGCTCTACTGCTTGAGCTACAGTGCCATTTCCATTTTCTAGTGGGTTTTTATTGGAGATAAGAGTCTCACAGACTTTCCTGCCCCGGCTGGCTTTGAACCAAGATCCTCAGATCTCAGCCTCCTGAGTAGCTAGGATTACAGGTTTGAGCCACCAGCGCCCGGCCCCTTTCATTTTCTTCTAGAAGTTTGTTTCAGTTCTTCACTTAAGTCCTTAATGTATTTTTGATTCTTATATATGGTTTGTACAAAGGGGCCAGTTTAATTCTTCGGCATGTGGACAACCCGTTTTCCTAACATCATATATTGAAGAGATTGTCCTATTGCTGTTGCATATTCTTAGCATTTTTATTAAAAATAAATTGATCATAAATACAGAGATTATTTCTGTGCTCTCCATCCTGTTCTACTGGGTAATGTATCTGTTTCTTCGTTTTGTTTTGTTTTTTCTTGCTGGTCCTGGGACTTGAACTCAGGGACTCAGGGCCTGGGAGGTTCAAGGCAAGCACTCTGCCACTTGAGCCACAGTTCCATTTCTGGATTTTTTTTTTTGTAGTTTATTGGAGGTAAAAGTCTCATGAACTTTCCTGCCCAGGCTGACTTCCAACCTCAGTTATCAGAGCTCTGCCTCCCAAGTAGCTAGGATTAGAGTGTGAGAGTACCTGCCTTTGGTTTTATAATATATTTATATTCTTTTTCTTTATATAATATTTATATTATATTATCTTTAGATAATATTTATATTATATTTACATAATATGTTATATATTATATACACTATATATTTAGATATATAATTAGCAACACTATATTATATATTTAGATATATAATTAGCAACATTAGGTAGTTTTACTTCTTCCTTCCTGATCTGGATGCCTTGTGTTTCTTTTTCTTCCATGATTACTCTGGCTAGGATTTTCAATACCATGTTGAGTACTGATAGAGGAAATAGGCATCTTTGTCTTATTCTTTTTCTTTGGGACAAAGCTTTCACCATTGAGCATGATGCCAATTGTGTACTTGCCATTTCTAGCCTCTGTTGTGTTAAGGAACATTCATTCTCTATGTAATTTGTTGTGAGTTTTTATCATGGAAGAACATCAAATTTTCTCACATGGTTTTTTTTTTTTTTTGCATTTATTGAGATGATCATATGAGTTTTGCTTTTCAGTGCCTTTGAGTCAGGTAAGATAAATGAGAGTACAGACCATCCAGATACAGCAGGAAAGGAAGGTATTTTAGATGTGTTTTCCAGTTCTTTCTATGTTCAGGGTGAAGCCACGAACAGGCATTTATCATCTATTGTCTTTGCACTAGTAGGCAAGAGTATCTATGTCAGACATTTCCACTCTAATTCAGTATGTACTCTCTGATCATAGTGGGTCTATTGTGTGTCCACTTCCTCATTTTTTCTGGTTGAGGGAGGCAGAAGTTGTAGTAACCAATGCATGACAGCCTCCTTTCAGAGTGGCTTTGGAGATCTGAAGTTTTTGTCGCTGTAATGTAAGAAAGAGAATTCAGGGAGTGTGCACTCTTTTCAGGCTGCTGGAGGTCTACTGTTTATGTTAGTTATGTTAGTTAGAAGACAGTCCTTCAAATTGCCACTGGAAGATGATGCAGAGAAATCCTTTCTAGACAGAAACCTAATGCTGTGCATTTAAGCTTGCTCTGCTCCCCAAGAATGTAGTCCCTAAAAGTGCTTGCACTACTGCTTAAAACTGCCTCTTGATATTGTGATCTAGGAGAACTCTCATGTGTTACTCCCCTCAGCTCCCAGAGCCCGGAGGATGAGATTGCAGTAGTGGGAGCTATAAATATTACATTGATAGTGACCCATTCTTCCAGGAGGAATTTGTAAACTGGGGTTGCCAGTGGGATGAGCTGCAGAGAGGGCATAGGAAGTGCTGAGTCTTCTTTAGGCTGTGGAAGGTCTACATATGTCACCAGTTAACAATTTTCTGATGTAAGTTAGTCATCCATTACACTATCAGCAGTAACAGTTGGCAGAATACAATGGCAAACCTTTTTCAGAGAGAAACCTAGAAGTGTTGAATTTTATCCCATTCTCTGCTCTGATGCTGGAGAATTATATCCCTGGAAGCTCTTGCCTGTGCTTGGATATCTGCTACTTTGTTCTGAGGTCTAATGAGATATATATTCAGGATCCCTTCTACATTCAGACATAGGCAAATTGCAAGCCAAGTATTGGATAACCTTGGAGTACAATATGTGTGGCACAAATGCTTCTCTCCTTGGGTAAATGCGAGAAGATCCCTTCTCAGGTGTGTGGTTTAATATCCATGGATAGTTTTGTGCCTGGACTGTACCTTATCTTTTTTCTACCTGGTTGATACTGATGCTTGTCAGAAGAGTCACAGCATTTCTAATTTTTTCTTAACATAGAGGGAATTGATCTTATATAGGTGTTTATTTGGTAGGTTTATGGGTGGAGGGAACATCAGAACTAGCTGTATTTGACAATGTTGGTGATTGTTTATTATATTCTTATTAGAAAGGTTACATGGACTCACCATGTAGGGTCACCATGATACACATTGCACTGCATAATATTGTTATATTGGGATCTTTGTCCAGAGGTCCACTGGAAATTCCAATCTATTTAGAAGACACTACTAGCCAGAAAATCATTAGTCCTATCCAGAGTGAAATAATTTGTCCAGGACAAAAAGATATTTTATGGAAGAACTGTGAGCTTCTGGTGAATCGAATGTGCCATCTGGAAAGTCTCATCCAGTCCTTGAAGATGAGCATCTTTCATCTACAAAGTGAAAAAGATTTGAATCCACAGAAAACAGGTATGGAGAGAAGAGAATATCATCCTCTGTGGGCATCTGAGTTTATGATTCTTTATCTTCCTTGTACTACTTGATGTCACTACTGTGCTGTCTGGTAGCTTTTCTGAAGGCTCGATTGAATACAATAGAGGAGGAACATTCCAAAGATCTGAAGCTGTTGCATCTTCAAGTGATGAGTTTGCGCCAGCAACTGAGAGATGTCAAAGAGGGAGAAGGAAACGCACAAAAAGAAGTCCATAGGTTAACTGCCACTCTGGAAATGGCCTCAGAGATAAAGGTTTGAGTCCACATTTCTGAAGTACAAAGTTACTCTATATCAGCTGGAAGTAGCATCAGACCAATAAAGCTGTTGTAAAAATAGGTGATATTGGAAGTGGCGCTGTAGCTCAAGTGGTAGAGCGCTCGCCTTGAGCTGAAGAGCTGGGGGACAGCGCCCAGGCCAGAGCTCAAGCCCCACAACCGACCAAAAAAAAAATCGGTGATATTGGTGTAAAGATTCTTGATACATTTCACATGTATGTGCATCAATAACCTAAAGTACTATGTACTCCTAGTAACTGTTTATAGTATATAAGGAATAGTAAGCATCCAGAGGTATGAGAAGTCTGTCCTTTTCAAAGCTTATGTGATAGTTGAAGCACAAGGCATACTATGATAAATAGGAAGAAATAAGAGTGTAACAAAAGTGTTATAGGATGGTATGGGACAAGTGAATATTTACTAGCAAAGGCTCTTTGTTCAGGCATGTTTGAAAAGGGTGAGCATGCCCTGTCTAGAATAGATCAGGTAGGCTTTAGAAAACAGATAATAGGACTTGAGCTCAACCTTTAGGAGGCAAAGTAGGAGGGAAAGGTCATTTCAATGAGCATATGCAGGTAAAGGAAAGAATTAGGTCTACAAGGATATCCTATGAAATAGGACACCATTGGCCTGTTTAATAGTAAGAGTACTAGGGACCAGAGGGAAGTCACTTGTCCAAGATAACCACATGCCTGTCTTCTTCCTATAACCCAGGTTTGAGCCAGAGCATTCCACTGGGTGAAATATGTAAACTAGGCTGACAGGAGTAAGAATTTGTTTGTGGAAAATAAACTGGATATGAAGTAGGTATCATATTGTAGAGGTCTCAAAATCATTGTGTACATCTATGTACATAATTATGTACATAATCATTATGTCATCATTATAACCAACAATTGTATAGTTCCTATGGAGAATGATTTTTTAAAATATTGAAATGATTAATAAAAGCAAAGAGAGCACCGATAGTTCATGCCTGAAATCCTAGCTACTCAGGAGTCTGAGATCTGAAGACCATGGTTCTAGGCAAGCCCAGTCGAGAAAGCAGAAAAGTCTGTGAGATTTTTATTTTCAATTAAGCACCAAAAAGTTGGAAGTAGAGCTGTGGCTCAAGTTAGGAGCTCTAGCCTTGCAAAAAAAAAAAAAAGCACAGGGACAGCACCCAAGCTCTAACTTTCAAGCCCCAGGATTGGCACCAGAAAAATAAATCACAACAACAAACAAAAAAACAAACAGGAAAAAAGGCAGAGGAAAAAAATTAGGCAGTATTTTAGAGTACTGATTATGGGGAGAGGAGAATGGAGTCAGGAAAAGTAATTAGGATTTGAATTGTATTATCTGCACTATGAGTCTAATAGCTAATTAGGTCAGAACCAATATTGTAGAATTCTGAAAGGGAACATACTCCAGAATATAGTATTGGATACAGACTGAAGGTAGGAAAGAAGGCAAAAACAATTTTGAGATTTTATGTCTAGGACTGTAGTGCCACTAATAATAATTTTAAAAAAAGAATAAGTAATGAAAGCTATGTTTTTGTCCTTGGCTTTTAAGTATGAATGATATTTGATGCTAGGAAAATAAGAGCTCTTAAAATAAGAAAGATTCTTTGTAAGAAAATATTGATCAATTTCTAGTTTGCCTTCTAATCATTCAATTTTAACACAAGAGATGGATATGATTACTATTTCTGATCAAAAACCATGAATCAAAATAATAATTGATATACCTATAGATAATATCTGCCATTTCAATTTAGAATCTTTTCTCTTTCTCCTTTTAAAAGAATGCAGCTATTGAAGAGGAATTGAAAACCACAAAACGTAAAATGAACCATAAAGTTCAAGAGGTAAGAAAAAAGATACTGGAGCAAGAGAAAGAATTGGAATTTCTGAGGGGGAAAGAAAGAAAATAGAGAATGAAAAGGACCTTTTGAAGAAGAAAGTATGTTTTACTGATGCCTTTTTTGAAAGCATAAATATGCTTTATTAAAGAAAGACTTTAAGAAGTGCAACATATAATTAAAGTGTGAGTGCTATCCCTACATGAAGACTTCCTTTGGCTTTAATACTGCAGTAAGCTAGGGAAAAAATTGTCCTAAAAGCCATGCCCACATGCTGCATTCCTTCATGTAATGACCTTTTAATCAAACGTTGTATTTACAATTAAAAGCTAGCTGGGTGTTGGTGGCTTATACCTGTAATCCTAGCTACTCAAGAGGCTGAGATCTGAGGATCATGGTTCAAAACCAGCCTAAGTGTGAAAGTTTATAAGATGCTTATCTCCAACTAACCACCAAAAACCCAGAAGTGGAGCTATGGCTCAAATGGTAGAGCACTAGCCTTGAATGAAAAAGCTAAGGGACAAGACTCAGGCCCTGAGTTCAGTGTCAGCACAAACGTGAAAACAATTAAAGACAATTTAAAAAGCTATGATATGCTCTAATTTTACCTTGAAATATTAATTTCAGTCTTGTTTGAGGAATTAAGAAGTGGCTGCTACAAGCTGTTGAACTAAAATTTTGTAGCTGAAAATAGTGATAGAAGTCAGAAAAGGGCTGGGAAGGTGGCTCAGTGGTAGAGCGCTTGCCTTGCATGCCTGAGGCCCTGGGTTCGATTCCTCAGCACCACATAAGCAAAAAGAAAAAAGCAGGAAGTGGCACTGTGGCTCAAGTGGTAGAGTGCTAGCCTTGAGCTAAAGAGCTGAGGGACAGCGCCCAGGCCCAGAGTTCAGGCACATGACTAGACCCCCCCAAAAAAAGTCAGAAAAATTACTAATCTATTTGACAATAGACTAAAATTCTCAGTGTTCCTGACCAAATATTGTCATTAGTCTAAAACCTTTAAAATATGTGTATATATATATATATATATATATATATTTGTAGTGCTTGAAGCATCAAGCATAGCTATCTAGAAAATTATTATTATAGAGAATATTATTTGCTAGTAGTTTGTGATTGCTCTTAGAATGTTTTCATGTTTTTATAGACTTTTAGAGCAGCTTTATGTTTATAGAAAACGTGTGCAGAAAAGAATTCCCATATACCTCCTACTCATTCTCACAGGTTTTTTTTTTTCTAAACAGATCACATTAGTGTGATACTTGGTATATTTGATGAACCACTATTGATCCAATTGAAGCCCACAGTTTATTCTAGAATTCACTTCTTTTCCTTGTGCAGTTCTGAGTTTGGGCCAATTCACAATGTATGTGTCCACCATTACAAGATTATCCAGAGTAATTTCACTGCCCTAAAGATAAACTATACTTACCTACTCATCCCTCTCTACTCTTCCCTCTGATCCCTTGGCAACCACTTTGCCATCTATAAAGTTTTGTTGTCATTGGAATTATACGGTATATAACCTTTGTGAACTGACTGCCTTCACTTAGCATATTTAAAATTCCTTCATATAGTTTGTATCCTTTTAATTGATGAGCAATATTGCATTGTATGTACCATAGCTTGTTCATCCATTCACTTATTGAAGAACATTTTGTTTGATTACAATTACTGACAATAAGAAATAAAGCTTCTATAAATATTTGTATTATGGTTATTTATGTGAACATAAGATTTCAACTCATTTGGGTAAATAACCTAGGGGTGTGTAACACTGGGTTAATGATAAGCCTATGGTTTAGCTTTGTTAGAAATTGCCCAATCATCTTACAAAATGACTGCACCATTTTACATTCAGCTAGCAAGGAATAAGCTGACCAAATAAGAACATAGTTCTCCATCTTTACCAGTGTTTGATAAGTATTTTGATTTTTTTTGCCATTCTACTTTGTATGTAATGGTCTCTTATTTTGCAGTTCACTAGTGAAGTTTTTTTAGTGGTACTGGAGTCAAAACTCAGTCTTGTGCTTGCTAGGCAGGTGCCCTCTAGCCCTTTTTGCTTTCTATTTTTCAAATAGGATCTTAGTTTTTGTCTGGACTGGCCTGAACTGATATTCTCCTGTTTCCCTTTTCAGTAGATTACAGGTGCATGCCACTATGCTCAGATTTTTAATGAATGGTTGAGATGGGGTCCTCATTGCTACCAGCTTGTCCAAGCTGGCCTCAGACCATGATCTTCCTGGTCTTGGTTTTTTTCTTGAGTTTAAACTTATTTTGATAGTTTAAGAGTTTTTGTATATTTTGGATATTGTATGATTGTATGACTTGTGTCCCCTGCCAGTTCATGTGTTGGAAAATTGATCCCTAGTTTAGTAGTGTTTAGAAGTGAGATCTTTAAGAGTTTTTCTAACTACTACATCTAGCTAGCTCCTGAAAGACACTTACAGGGTTTTAATGTCAGACACAATGAGCCGAGATCAAATAGATATTTTTGTATTGTAATGACACAGGACCCAAGTTCTTTCATGTTAATTAACACTGTTATTTAACAGTTACTTCATTAGTTAGGCTTTCAAAGTCCAAAACAGAATTAGGTGGTACTGGGATCTGAACTCAAAACCTTACAGTTGCTAAGCTTCTATCTACTTTATCCCTTTATTTTTTTCAGGTTGGGCCTCAAATTTTTTGTCCTGGGCAAACCCGGACTGTGATCTTCCTACTTTGGGCTCCCACGTAGATGGCATACAGGCAAGAAGTACTGCACTCAGTTTTTTGGTTAAGATAGGGTCTCACTAATTTTTTGCTTGGGCTAGCTACCCACTGTACAAGCTTCCTGATACCCATCTCCAGAGTATCTGCGATTTAGACTTAAGCCATTATGCCTGATCTTGAAATAGCTTCTAGAAGTATGGTTATAATACTACAAAATTAAAGCAATGTAAGATATAGGAAAGTGAGTTGAAAAATAAAACAAGAAAATACAGAAATGAAGTAAATACATACTAAGATATGATGCTAGCACTTTTTCTACTTATTTTGAAAGTTTGAATGCATTAAACATCCATTTTATATTACAACACCAACACACATACATATTACAGAACCATTTTATGAAGCAGGACTTATCTGCTTATCTCAACATTCTATTCTCTTTCCTTCCTTCTTCCTTCCTTCCTTTACTTCCTCTTCCTTCTCTTCCTTCTTCTTTTCCTCCTTCTCTTCCTCCCTCTCCTCTTCCTTCTTCTTTTCCTATTCTTCCTCCTCCTCTGTTCCTTCTCCTTTTTTGTGCTGGTATCATGACTTGAACTCAGGTCATCTTGCATGCTTCTTTCTTGTTCATGCCTGGTGTTCTACCACTTGAATCACTCTTCTAGTCTGGCATTTTGTTAGTTAATAGGAGAAAGTGTCTCTAGAACTTTTCTTCCTAGGTAAATTTTGCCTCCTGAGTAGCCAGAATGATAGGCATGAGCCCCTGCCCCCCAGCTTCTGCTCTTCTTTTTCTAAGTGCTGCTTGCAAGTTACTTTAGGAAATAGACATATACAATAAGAAGATAAGAGCAACAGATTTGACTTCATACTTTTATAAAGCTCAATATTAGGGGGAAACAAGAGCATGCCTTTATGCATACATATGTATAAGAGCATGACTGTAAGTAAAGAATGTTCAATTCCGAGATGGTGTATCTGGCAACTTTGATTTTTGGGAAACTGGCATATGATATTCCTTAGACTGGCTTAACTTCAATGTTGCTCTGTAGCTGAGGAGACAGCTGGCTTTGGAGAAGCATGTCAGAGAATCTCTTGAGAGATCTGGATCAGCTATGCTACTCAAAGTACAGGAAATGGGATCAGCAGTGGAAGTGGAACAGAAACAGGTACAAAATTCCCTTTTCTTACCCATGTTAGGGAAGTAAAAAAAATTACCTATAAACACAATTTTGTCAATTTTCTCCAAATGTATTATTTATTTTCTTTAATCTCTGCTAACATTCTTGCTACAACTTAAGGTAATTGTGGTACAAAATGACTCTAATGTTATTTAATACAATTCCTAATTAATGAATATGATAGCTAATGCCCAGAGAAGTTAATTTGCCTCAGGCTTCACAGCATGGACTTGTAGCTCTAGGTATAGTAACTCTTCCTTGCCCGTGTACTCTCTGCTAGAGGCACTGATTTTGGAAATCATTACTCTGATCTCATCATGTCTCTCACCCTTTGCTGTGTGTCTGTGATTTGGCTAGACAATAAAGACTAAGTTGAACTAACACATACTTCTCTTTTGCCCTTAGTGACCTTAGAAATTCTACTCTCCACATGTTCCATAAGGTCATTTATTTTTTCAAAAATCTGCCTTACAAAAAAGCTGTTTTTTTCCAATTTCAGGTTCACATTTTGCAGAAGAATTGCATTGCCCTACGCAGTTCTATACAGAGTACCCAGGAGCTCCTAGTACAGGAAAAAAGAAAGCTTCATGTAAGTTATATATCCAGGGTAATACTAGGTATTAGGCACTAAGTAATCATTTTATTCAGATTATTACATGTTGAAAATATTAATTAACAAAAATAATAAGACATTTATATTTTCAGATTATACATAAATTGTAAAAAATGGTTAATAAAATGCAAAAAGTTATTTTTGGTGGATTGTTACAATACAATGTGAATATATTTAATGCTACTAAACTGTACTCTTAAAATGGTTAGCATGGCAAATTTCATATTTTATCATAACTTTAAAAATGAAAATCATATTACTTTTTGCCTCATATTACATTTTAAAATTAATCTTTTGCTATACAGAGCACATTTGGAATCATTTTTCTGAATGCTATCTCATTCTGTATTATCTTTCTTAATATTTTTCTTGATATGTTTATCTTTCTTGAGAAATTGCTTCTAGGAAACAATGTATATGTAACAGAAGCTATATAATCCTAGAGAGTAGAATTTACATAATGTAAGCATTCTAGTAAATGTAGATTACTTTTTTGTTTTTGTTTGGTTCTGTGTATGTGCCATTATAGGGCTTTGAACTTGTGGCCTCTCACTTGACTTTTTTGCTCATATCTGGCAATCTACCACTTGAACTATGAGTCTAGCTTTTTTTTGTTAGAAATGAAGATAATCTCTCTTAGACTTTTCTGCCCAGGCAAACTTCAGTGCTCAGTCATCAGAGCTCAGCCACCTGAGCAGTTTGAACTACAAGCATGAGCCACCAGTACCCAGCTAGGTTATGTTCTAGGCAAGTTCTTTCTAGTTAGAACCCCTTTATGAGAATAATTTATGAAGGTTTTTATTTTTCAGTTGTGGGACTTAAACTTGGGGCCTGAGTAATTTTGCTCAAGGCTAGTACTCTATCACTTTGAGCTACAACACTATTTCTGGTTTTCTGGTAGTTAATTGAAGATAAGTCTCTCAGACTTTCCTGCCTGGGCTGGCTTTGACTGGCAATCCTCAGATCCCAGCCTACAGAATAGCTAGACTTGTAGGTGTGAGCCACTGGTTCCTGGCTTATAAGTTTTTTTTATAATAGACCAGATATAGCAGATTTAATAGAGCAGATTTAGGCTTATAGCAAAATTGAGTAGAAGGTACAGACGTTTCTTATATGGTCCCTGTCCCTATACATGCATAGCCTCTCTGGTTATCAACATTCTCCCGTGAATGGAACAGTACTACAACAAGTGAATACATTGGCCGATCATTATCACTCAAAGTCTTATCATTTACATTAAGGATCCCTCTGGAGTTGCACATTCTTGGATTTGGATAAACAAATAATGACAAGTCCACTGTAGTAGTATCCTACCGAATAATACTGCTTCCCCTCAAAACCTGTTTGCTCTAGCTATTCATCTCTCCATCCCAACCCCTGGTAACTGTCTCTGTAGATTTGTCTTTTCCAGAATGTCATATGGTCACAATCATACACAATCGTACATGTGACAATTTTTGGACTTCTTTAGTTGAATAAACATTTAAAATTTTCTTTATAGTTTATTTTAGTGCTGAATAATATCCAACTCATTGTCTGGATGATCTATTTGCATACAAAGAGTTTTAAATAAAAATATTTGGCTCCCTTGGGTAAATGCCAAGGAGCCTGATTGCCTGATTGCCAGATCGTGTGATAATTTCTGTAAGAAATTAGGAACCTGCCTCCCAGTTTTGCATTCCTACCAGGAATGAATGTCTGTTGTTTCCACATCCTCAGATTTGTGTAAACAGACTTTTGTTTTATTTTTGCTGGAACTGGGGCTTGAATTCAGGGCCTCATACTCTCACTGACTCTTTTGCTCACAGCTGGTGCTCTTCCACTTGAGCCACACCTCTATTTCTGACTTTTTTCTGTTTAATTGGAGATAAGAGTCTCAGATTTGTCTGCCTGAGCTGGCTTTGAACTATGATCTTAGATCTCAGCCTCCTGAGTAGCTAGGATTATACCTGTGAGCTACTAGTGCTTAGCTATAAACAGTTTTGATAATTTAGAAACAGTAGTTTAGAAGCTGAAGATACTAAAATCTTAACAAATTCTTTATAAGACCTACAAACACACACATATATACACATTTATATTGGACCTTGAACTGGCATTGGCTAGATACTTAGCAGATATTTTCATAAAGATATATATAATACCTTGTACCTGTGGAAAAGAAAGTAATTACATTTTCTCCAATAGGAAGTACAAATATCTCTCAAAAACAAAAATGAAGAAAATGCATATTTGAGGTCTGAAATAATTACACTTCGTGAAGTATCAGAAAAAACACAGGTAAATCTTCACTGGTTTTTAGATGCTATTTAATTTTGTTCAATTAAAGAATCAAGGTATAGAAAGGGCACAGGAGAAGCCCAACCCTCCAACACCTTGATCTGATACAACTAGTATCCAGCATTGAGAAAAATAAATTCCTATTGTTTAGTTTTTAAAAAAAGAATCAAGGTAAATCCTGATTATACAAGTTCATCTCTGATACTTCAGTTTTTATTTCCATAAGATCTTCTTTACCTCTGAAGCATTATTATAAATTAAGCACAGTTCTGATCATTCTCCCAATTCCTGTGACACAGTAGTGTACAAGAATTGTCACTAAATTGCATACCTGGTTATACTTTGCCTTTGTTTGCTTTCTTGTGTAGTAATTGAATACATAAATCACTACCTTTCACCATGAACTTTGGCCATTCAATGGCAAAGTCTCTTGTCTTATAATTTATATCGTTAGCAGCAAATAGTACAGTAGGAACTTAATGGTTGCTACATTTTGGAGGTGGATATAACCATTGTCTTTAGATTTAACCATGGTCCTGTCAACTTAATTGATACTTTATATTAATATATGGATAAGTATTGAAAAAGTCACCAAATATGCAAACTAATTATCAGAGAGTTCAGTGAGATATAGTTTATTACTAAAAATAACTTCTCTGTTTCTACAACTTAATTACATTAGGATTATGGTGTTTCTGTGTCTTGTTTATAATAAATAAAATGCAACAATAAGTGTCTCCTATTATAAAATGATAACTATGACTCTTACCACTCTACCTATTCTAATAGTTGACATTTTTACTGAACCCATTCCACATTCTAGGCATAATTTTAAGCACTTCCAATTACTAACAAATTGTAATCTTTGTAATTGTACTATGGAATAGACACCATTGTTTTCATTTAAAAGATAATAAAACTGATATACACAAAGGTTTTATAGCTAACAAGTGGCAGAGTTGGGACTTTGAGTTCAATCATCTGACTCTCCCAAAACCCTGAATGTGTTCATAGCTATTCTATCACACTTACAGACTTACCAGATTATTCATTTTCCTTCTCATTATTTTTTCTGTTGTTCCTTTAGAGTGATGTGTCTTTATTCTTGAAAAACTTGTTTATTAAAACATAAGCTGCTTGACAAATGTACCATGCAAAAACAATTACTAAGGTGAATATTTTTCACAAGAAGCAAATTCCAGAATATCAAAAGTTACTAAATGACAGATTTGTAGCACAAAGGTTATTACTCATTCTGAAGTATTAATAGTATGATGGAAAACTCACCTATATTTTGCTTTTATAAATGTTATCATTGGTGGTGGAACAACTTGGGTTTTTTCTGTTATCAGCCAAATATTTCTGAAGGCACATGATGTAACTATGGAAATCACTTTCTGCAATATTAACTAGGCACCTATACAGAATATTCCATCCAACACAGGTCTTGGACCTAAATGATTTGGGTTCAGAATTGTGACAAACAGGTCAGTAGAAATCCATAAGCCTCAATTCACTAAATCAATAAATCTTGTTTCAAACATTTGAAGGTATTTTGTAAAATATTAATTGGGGATACATTAACTAAATTATGGGCATAAAATAATGATACACAAATAATTCCCAAAGACTTTTGACTTGATAAATATATATTTGTTGTCTCAGGTTTTGAATGACCAACTGAGTAGAAAATGTTTAGAGCTGAGCAGCATACTTCAGTCTGTAAAGATGGAAAATGCCAGGGTTACTGCTGACCATCAAGCTATTATGCAGGTATTCACCTGATGCTAGTGAACTTCTGACAGAGGCAATGTGAAGCCAGCCTGACTGAGAAAATGTACATGGCCAAGTGGATTAGTAAAATGTTTTACCAATGAATTCCAAAGTTTCACTGAGTTATTTCTTGGTAATCTTTCACCTTCACATCAGAGGAGTGATTTGGCCTTACATTTATTGTATTTTAATGCCTTTTCTCAAATATCATTACTTTAGGAAAGTAATTACCTCTCCCATTGTTATATTTACAGAGTCTACTTACAGCTGACTCTAAAGTATGTATATTTTCCTCTACTTTGAAATTTGCTTACTCCAATCTCTTAAGAAAGCACTTTATCTCCAACTATTTGAAATTCTATTTATATTAAAACTTTCATGTAGGAGCTTGATTGTCCTGACTAGAAAGGAGAATTTTTTCTTTTCAAGTTTTGTTACATCAACACTAAACAGATTATCATAATAATAGCTCCCCTGTATGTGTTCATATATCATGTGTGTGTTAGCATTTACCTAGGATTCTACGTTTTCTTATCATCTGCTCCATGAAAGGTTACTGATTATACTTATTTTACCTGTAAGAACAATAAAGTTTAGAGAAGTTAACTAAAATGTATTTACAAAGGTAATTCTCAATGCAGGGTTTGCAGAAACTTTGTGAATTATAGTAGAAATGGGTATATATAAAATTGTTCTGTTTTAATGGCTCCAAAATGGTGAGGCAGAGAAAGTAAATTGTGTGAAACAGTTACAGTTTTACTACTGCAACAGTATCTGAATATAGTCTAAGACAATATCTAGGATCTGGGTGCTGTCCTTGAGCTCTTTTACAAGGCTACAGCTCTACCACTTTGAACCATAGCCACACTTCTGGTTTTTGAGTTTTTAATTGGAGATAAAAGTCTCACGGGGACTTTTCTGCCTGGGCTGGCTTCAAATCACAATCTTCAGATCTCAGCTTCCTAAGTAGCAAGGATTACAGGCATGAGCTACCAGTGCTGGACAAAATAAGTTTTTTTAAGGGAAATTATCTATGGAAAAAACACTTGTATTTTGTTATCTTGTTAGCCTATCAAATGTCTTCTCAGTTCTCATTATCAACCCTCACACTCAGGTAGAGCAGAACATGGCACAGACATTTCAAGCACAGAACTTACTGCGGGATGCAGCCCATGCCAGCATCACAAGTCAACTGCAGACTGTTCTAAATGAGAAAGCCCAACTCCAGACACATCTGTAAGTTTACTGTGGGACAATTCCTGTGCATCTTTTGTTCTTGCACTTATTTTTAAAATTTTTATTATAAAGGTGATATACAGAGGGGATACAGTTTCATAAGTCAGGTAATGAGTAAATTTCTTTTTGAACAGTGTCACCCTTTCCCTTGTTTTCTCCCAGTTTTCCTCCTCCTACTCCCCCATCAACTTGTATAGTTAATTTCCGGCATAGTGTCTAGTTGTACTTGTATTTTTCAACTTAATATTTAATTCTGCATTTGCAGGGACAGACACAAAGATAAAGGTTTTACCTCAAGGAACATTTTCCTAACCACTCTTAGGCAAAAATTATATTCCATAAGGACATTCAGTCACTTCTCATCTGTTTGTCATGTGTCCTTGTTCTATTCCTGCAGGGACCATTTAATCCTTGAGCATAACCAGTGCATCGAGAAAGCACGGGATGCTGAGAAAAGGGTAAATACTCAGAAAGAGCTGCTAGAATCAACAATTGCCAGATTGCGAAGCGAACTTGAAGCATCAATGCAAGAGAAGAAGTCTCTGCTAGAGGATAAGGAAAGATTTCAGAGAGAGGTAGGTAGAAGCAGATTTATACTACCTTCTGATGATGATGTGATGGTTATGTTTTAAGATTATATTCAAAGATTAAAGAACAAGAGAAATAAAATCCAGATGTACTTTGTCTGAGTTACCCCATCAAGAAAAGGTCTATGCCAGCCTCTACAGAATATCCTTCCACAGCATTTGTGAATATGCTACCCAATAATACACACATCCTTCTGCTAGTTGAGGGGTCAAGGATCAGAGGGGGGGGAGAGAGAGTTTATTCTGGGGCTTGAACTGGGATATAGGCTCTGTCCCTTAGCTTTTTTTACTCAAAGATGGAACCTCTACCATTTGAGCCACAGCTCCACTTCCAGCTGGTTAATTGTAGCTAAGAGTTTTTCCAAACTTTGCTGTCCAGGCTGGCTTCAAACTTCAGTCCTCAGATCTGAGCCTCCTGAGTATCTAGGTTTACAGGCGTGAATCACCAGTGCTCAGTACATTTAAATTTATTTCCCCTGAAATATTATGGGACAGTGGAGGTTAAGGGGGAACAGCCCCATCTGCCTAGTCAGGAGGGAACCAGCAGAGCCTGACATGCAGACGTGTCTTTCTAATTGCAGGGCTATTTGTGAAGTCTGCTCTGCCTCAGAAACTCCTGCTTGGCCCCTTTTCTGAGAGGATTTGCTATCTCTGCAGTGTAGGTATTGACATGTAGGATGTATGTGCTAGAGTATAGCCTGTCAGCCACTGTAAAACTGACCCATTTTTCTCCCTCCTCTGGGCAGATTAATAAAACAGAAAAAGAAACAGCACAAGAAAAATACAATTTGGAAAAGGAATTAGCTAACAACAAGGTATTCTACATTTTATTTCTCAATATTTCACTGTGTTTTGTTTCTTCTTGGATTGCTGCCTACTGTATCAGTTTATGTTAACGAGAAAATGCAAGATTCTGTTCACTACCACGATGTGCAGGGAAGGAAAGGAGCTATGAAGCTGACTTCTTAGAGCATCCCTTCACTACAGCAGCAAGTACAGCCTTTACTTGTTGAGTATTCAGGGTTTGCCAGTGAGTCATCCAGCTTCTGGCCCTAGTGTTCACCAAGCAGTTTAGCCAGGAAGTCCTCTGAGACTGAGCTCATGCATCTGGAAAAGGCAAAGACAGGATGGCTGACACTGCTGTTCTCTTCAAAAATGGTTAACTCAGTTTCCTTAATACCTATAGGAAGTTGCCACTTTGCCTTCAAGGTATCCTTTTCTTTTTAAACATTTTTTTCATTAACTGGAACATAATATTTGAACATTTTATGGGTTACATTTTGGTAATTTAATACATGTATATAGTGCATAATGATTAAATAAGGGTACAGTGTATAAAGATTAAATAAGTTATTAAGCATGCCATCTCTTTAAATATTCAACATTGGTTTGTTTGGTTTTTTGGTGGTGGGCAAGAGTTTAAACTCAGAGCCTTGTGCTTACTTAGCTTTCTTGCTTCACTGATGTCCAAAGCACTTTAGCCACACCTCTAGTTTGGCTCTTTGCTGGTTATTTTGGAGATGGAGCCTAACACATTTTTTTCTGCCCAGACTAGACTTGAACCATGATCTTCCAGATGTGTCTCCTGAGTAGCTAGATTAATAGGCCCGAGCTTAGAATCTAAAATATTAATCATTCTCTTGTGTTGAAAATCTCTAGACATTTTGAAATAAATCATTAGATTATTTTAACCTATAGTTACCCTACACATGCTTTAGAAAATCAAAACTCATTCCTCCTCTATAGCTGTGTTTTGGTGTCTCTTCTTTAAGTTCTTTCTCTTCTTTCTCCCTTTTTCCTCTCCCAGGTTGTAGTGGCTGTGAATCCATTTCATTCTTCTATGAGAGTGACAGTTTCCACAAATGAGTGAGAATATGTAGTCTTTGTCTTTTCTGTGTCTAGTTTCTTCCACTTTAACAATATGACTTTCCAGTTCCATTCATGCTGCTGTGAATGACAGGTTTATTCACTTTGATCTTGAATAATATTCCACTGGATACATGTTTTCTTTATCCATTTATCATTTGATGGATACGTAGATTTTTTTGTTTCTTGGCACTGTGGATAGTGCTATAATAAAGATGGAATGTCAGCTGGATAGCAATGACTTCCACCTGTGATCCTAGCAACCCAGAAGTTGAGATCTGAAGATCACAGTTCAAAGCCAGCCCAGGAAGGAAAGTCTGTGAGACTCTTATCTCCAATAAACTATCCCCCCCAAAAAAAAAAATACAAGAAAGCTGTGATTCAAGTGGTAGAGCACTAGCCTTGAGCTAAAAAGCTCAGGGATAGCACCTAGGCCCTGAGTTCAAACTATCAGACTGCACAAACACACACAGAATACACACACAGAATTTATCTCTTTGGTATAATGAGTCATCTTTCTTGGAGTCATATAGCTAGCTAGTACATAGATAGATAAGCTATAAGCTTTCTGAATTTTATTTCCCTTGCTGAACAGATATAATACCATTTGCCTATTTTTATATTTTTCCTGTGTCTTTGGGGTCCTATCCAAAATAAATACTTCTCTTGAAGTGATTCCCATTTGTTTGGGATTTTTTTTGCAATACTTTTGCCGTTTCAGATTTTACATTTTAAGTCTCTGGTCTGTTTTGATTGGATTTTTGCAATAGTAAGAGGCAAAGATCCAGCCTCACTCTTTTTGCTTATGTAGATTCTATTTGCCAAGACCATTTATTGATGATACTGTCTTTTCTCTGCTGTTTGTTTTTGATGCCTTGTCAAAAATTAATATGGAGAGTGATTTCTGGATATGTTATTTAGTTCCCTTGAGCTATATGTTGGATTGTAGGCCATGTCAGTTCTAGTTTGGTTTACTATATTGCAGTATGTTTTAAAGTCAGGTATCATGATGCCCCCAGCTTCTTCTTTTTTCTTTCTTTCTCTTAGGTTGCTTGACTATTTTAAAGCTTTTGGGATTCCATATGAATTATTTTTGCAGTTTCTATAGGGAAAGTCATTGGCATTTTAGTGAGGATTTTATTGATTCTATATACTACTTTGGCTATAACGTTCTTTTTTTAGCAATATTAATTCCTCCAATTCATGAACATGGGACATCTTTCTATATTTTTGTGTCTTTTAGAAATCAGCAGTATTTTCTAATTTTCATCGAAGAGAACTTTTGCATCCTTAAATTTATCCCTAATTGTTTCTTGCAGCTATTCTTTCTTGATTTCTTTTTCATGAAGTTTATCATTTATGTATAAAAGTGGTACTTTTTATATTCATTTTGTATTCTGCAACTATACTAGATTTATCCATCAGTTCTAACAGCTTTTTGATGACTTAGGTTTTTCTACATTAAAAACATGGATAACTTTTTTCTTTTCAGTTTGAGTGACCCTTCTTTCTCTTGCCTAATTTCTTACTGACTTCCAATACTATTTTAAATAAGAATGATGACAATAGCTCAATATGAAAATCAACTCCAAGATATGGAACAAGGGTTTTTTTCTTTGTTGTAAGTACTGTGTGAAGTTATTTCTTTTTCTTTTTTTTCCTTTGGTTTATTCCCGGTTGTCACTGTTTTGATTTTAGTACCTTGTGTCTTCTATATACATTTATCTGATTTAGGGAAGGGAAGAGGAACAACAAAATGGTGATACAAAGGTCAAGGGTGAACCAATGCAACAGTGATACTCATAAGACACTATCTTGGAAATGAACTTTACAACTTGGGGGGAGGAATCAGGGATGGGAAAAGGGGAAGTGGGAAAAAACAAGGGAGGTGGTAACAATGTTCAACTCATTACCTTATGTTTGTAACTGTAATCCCATTTTTATTATTTTTAAGTAGTTGTACAAAGGAGGTATCATTTAACAATGCAGTTTATGAGTACAATACATCTTGATCAGTATCATCCTCTTCAACATTCTTACCTCCTTTGATCTACCCCTTCCCTCACTTTTCTTAATTTTGTGCTATAGACCATGATTTTTTTTTGCAGGAGGGGGGAGGGGGGAAAGGGGTCAGTCATGGGGCTTGAACTCGGCCTGGGCACTGTCCCTCAGCTCTTCAGCTCAAGCCAAGAGCTCTACCACTTAAGCCACAGTGCCAGTTCCAGTTTTCTCATGTTAACTGGAGATAAAAGTCTCACAGACTTTCCTGCCCTGGCTGGCTTTGAACAATGATCCTCAGATCTGTCTCCTGAGTAGCTAAGATTACAGGCATGGCTACCATGATTTCTTGACTTCATTCTCTCCCAACCCTCTTCATATATTCCCATTCCTCTTGGCTCCATGTACCTATTTGCTGGTGCTGATTTTTGGGGGCTTTGACTTGGTTGTTCTAAAAAAAAAATACACTATTTGAGCTTTCCATAGAATCCATTATACTTCAGTTAATTCATTTGTAACCATTTGTATATCACCCAATGTATTTACTTATGGATTTATAGGCACATTCTATCTACCACAAATGAGCAAAATCATACAACCTTTGTTTCTCTATGTCTGGCATAATATAATTTTTCTAGTTTTTTCCTTATAAATGATACAATATCATTTTTCTAGTGGATGAATAAAATTCCATTGTGTATAACATGCCACATATTCTTGATCACTCATCCATCAATGAGTGATCATCTGGACTGATTCTATATCTTGGCTATGGGGAATATTGCTGCAATTCACAATAGGCTGTATATGTACTTGCTTGAGTTATATTCTTCCTACATCTAATTTCTTGAGATCTGTTTTTTGCAAAGAGATATTGAATCTTATCAATAGATGCTTTTCTGCATCTATTGAGACAATCATAGAGTTTTTTGTCCTTCATTCAAGTTGATGTGTTATGTCACATATTGATTTGTGTATGTTGAACCATCCTTGTATCACTGAGATGAATTCTACATGATCATTATCTTTTTTATTTGCTTTTGGCTTTTTTCTTGGTAGTATTTTATTGTAAATTTCTATCACTATATTCATTAGTGATATTGCCTAGAGTATTTTTTGTTGTATCTTTGTCTAATGATGTTAAACATTTTATATGCTTAATGGACATTTATATATTCTCTTTTGAGAAATGTCTATTCAGATATTTTGCCCATTTTAAAAGGGATTATCTTTTTATTATAGAGGTAGAAGAGGGCTGGGAAGGTGGCTCAGTGGTAGAGCATTTGCCTTGCATGCTCTAGGCCCTGGGTTCAATTCCTCAGTACCACATAAGACAAAACCCGGAAGTGGCGCTGTGGCTCAAGTGGTAGAGCACTAGCCTTGAGCTGAAGAGCTGAGGGACAGCACCCAGGCCCAGAGATCAGGCCCCATGACCGGAATCCCCCAAGCCCCAAAAAAGAAAGTAATAGAGGTAGAAGAATTCTTTATATAGGTGTACTAGACTTTTATCAGATAGATGATCTATAGCTATTTACTCCAATGTTGGGGATGCTGTTTTACACTTGTAATTTCCTTTCATGCATAAAACTTTAAAAATTTTAAATCTACTTATCTGTTTTATCTCTGGTTGCCAATTCTATTGAGAAACTATTGCCTAACCCAAGGTCATACACTTAATTCCTATTAATACCTAATTTTTTTCTTAAAAATGTGTAGGTTTACATAAAAACTATAGGTCTTTGAATTTTAGTTAAGTTTGTATATGGTATGGGATAGAGTTCAACTATATTATTTTACCTGTGGAGCCTATTGCTGTGTCATAAATTGAAAGATAATTTCTATATTGAATTAAAGCAGCTATCAAGTACCAGAAAGACTTCAATTGTTAATAAAGGTGAACTGTACTATTTGCTGTAACCCTCCTGCTAAAGACAAGATTAGCTGAAAAATGGAAAATAAAAATAAATCATTTAGAGCAGCATAGAACTATCTGTAAATGCCTACATTTACAGGCAGAACTTTTGCATGAGCTACCTTCCACTGTACAATTTTCATTTTATAAATCACATTTTTGGATCTCACAGTTTCTTTTCTCTTTTTGTTTTTAAAAGGTAGATTTAAATGCATTAAGCCAAAACCTGCATATTCTTGTGGAAGAAAATAAGTATCTGGCAGATCAAGTGGCTTCCCTTGAATTTCAACAAGCCACTTCTGATTACCATGGGGTGGGTATAAAAAGGTCAGTCTAAAGTTGGAAGTAATGATTAATGAGCTTGAAAAAATAGAAACCTGTATCAGAAGTCAGGAGATAGGTTTTCTTTGTGTATCATAAGTCCCAAATTACTCAGGATAAATATAGCACAGATCCTTGCAAAAATTTGAACAATAGATTATTTAAGAAACTAATTACAAAGCCCAGCGCTGGTGGCTCATGCCTGTAAGCTACTCAGGAAGCTGAGATCTGAGGACTGCAGTTCAAAGCCAGCCTGTGCAGAAAAGTCCCCATGAGACTCTTATCTCTAAGAAGACACTCATAAACCAGAATTGGTACTGTGGCTCAAATGGTAGAGCACTAACCTTCAACACCAAGAGGCTCAGGGATAGTGCCCAGGCCCTGAATTCAAGCCCCACAACTGACCAAAGAAAGAAAGAAACTAGCTACAAAGTGACTCCATACAAACATATCCAATGTTCTAAAATATTTCCTCTTCCATAAATTATAAAAGAAGAAATTAGTTCTCTCATTGGACTATCATTAATAAGTCAGATTTTTAAAAGCGATGTGACATGCATTACAAATAAATATCAGAACTAAAAACATCCAAGTGAAGGGAATTGAAAGAAATGATCATTGTTTTAGGAAATGAATGATCTTTCTATGTTTTTGTTGCAGTACTTGAAAAAGAATTATTGTTTTATAACAAGAGAATAAGTTTTGAAAATTTCATGGGAGGCCCTTGATGTTCCTTTCTTAATCTAAGCTAAATTCTTCCAAATCCTGTGGTAAACTGTTGATTAAACTTTCAAAGCCCGTAGTAAACTGTTAATTAAACTAACTGAAGAATTACAAAGACTAAATCTAAATCTTATATTCTCACAGCTTTTGAATGATATTTCCTAGGCTTCAATTTTGGTTGAATTTGGTATGATCTTTAATCTCTCAGAGCTTCAGTTTCTTAATTTGTCAAAACGAGGATGATAATATAATTATTGTCAAAACGAGGATGATAATATAATTATTAGAACCTGTTTAGGATCAAATAAGTTAATGCATATAAAGCATGTAGCAGACATCTAACGTGTTAAGGTCTTAGTATCTGGACTGTTCTGGAGAGAGGAGATTTGTAAGCACTGCTTGTGTGACAGAATCAGTTAGCTGTAAGTCCTGCTATGATTTCAGACCAACACTCCCTTATCTCAAGGTTAAAGATACAGCTTTGTTCTTTGCTTATAGGCTAGGCTTCAGCTGAATTTATCTATTAGTTTCATTCTGATGCCTCTGGAAGACCCCATTTCTGTCTCCCTAGGCCTTTTCTGAACCAACTGTCAGTGAGCAGACCTATGATTTTATCCTACCAGTAACTTTGACAGGTCTTGACAGTGATTTTTAGTCAAAGTTGATTCTAACCTGCTCATCAGATCTCTTAAAATCTGCTTATAACTTCCCTCAACTTTGGTTTGCAGTTCTGTCTCCACCTAGAAGCTTATCTGACCAAGCCAGGCTGGAATGAGTCTGATGTCAAGTAAGATGTCAAGATTGATTTTTTAGTTTTGCAGTATCCTTAAACCTATTGTCAATCAATGCTGACCATTCATTTTTGTTCTTTGAAAGTTAAAACTTGAAATTCTTAATAAGGAATAAGGTGGTATCTTCTAGTATTATCCATCATTGATTTTTGTAGATATACATTTGAGAAAGTGCCCATAGACTTGAATTTATATAGACCTGGTTTCTGCTTCTACCTCCATTTGCTCTGTGATCTGAGTAGGTTCTTCACCTCTCAAGACCTGCAGCATTTTGGGATCTTCCCTGTCTGTGGGGTTTCCATAGCCTACTGTGCATATCCGGATCAGAATAATTACCACAGTGATTAGAAGTTGAGCCATTTATTGCTTCTGCCTTCACTCTTAAATAATGTAAGAACAGCAAATACCCTTCTTCTACTCTCTTATCTAAAACTTAATAATTTTTTTCCGATAATGGGGGGGTTTGAACTCTGGGCCTGAGCGCTGTCCCTCAGCTCTTCAGTTCAGGCTAGAGCTCTACCACATGAGCCATAGCACCACTTCCGGTTTTCTGGTAGTTTATTGGAGATAAAGAGTTTCACAGTCTTTCCTGCTTAGGCTGGCTTTGAATCACGATCCTCAGATCTCAGCCTCCTGAGTAGCTAGGATTACAGGCATGAGCCACTGGCTCATTTAATGCTTTAAAACGCATTTTAATGAATGAGGCAAATGAGGGTCAAGTTTATCTTGCCAGGCTGAAAGTATTGCCATATTGAATGCCACCTACTTTTCACAAAAGCTAGCATTAAGTTCACATGAATAAAAATTATTCTTTTTTCTCTTTTACATTTGCTAATTTTTAGGTTTAGTGTTTTAATTTTAGTCTATAGTGTGGATATGTTTTAAGTCCACTACCACAGGGCAACTATGCAAAGAACCTCAGAAAGAAAGATGCGGAGGTAGAAAGGTTCCTATTATGAGCTCAAGTTGAATGACTATTTCCCCTTGTATGATGTGTATTCCCCACTTATTTTTAGGGGTTTTAAACATATACTTCCAAATAGTAGTACCAAACAAAAATATAATTCCCATGCAACTGGGTTTTAATGACTTGAAGTTAAACAATAAATTCAATGTATTGTTCCTTAAAGGCTTTGCCACATGTCATGTTCTGAATAAAATCTCTGGCTGATTATAAAATATAGGATTCCAAATATCACACTGGATTTTTTTTGATAGTTCCTACTAGCTGGTAAGCTCAAACAATTTTAGATTTTAGGTGTAGTTTGGTGGATAGAGCACTTGCCTAGCATGTGCAAGATGCTAGACTGGATTCACAGATCTGCAAAAAAGTACCTTTTGGAAAGCCTTTTGTGCTTACTCTTTGTGTTAGCTTTCCGTTACTGTAATAAAATACCTGATGTAATCAACTTAAAAGGAGAAAGATTTATTTTGGCTTTCAGTTCTGGAGATTTCAGTCTGGTTACTTTCACGTTGCTTTGGGGCCTATAACAAGGTAATTTGTATGTGGCAGAGGCGCCACTCACGTCATGGTAGCTGGGAAGCAAAAAGAGAAAGGGAAGGGACTGAGGCCCTAATATCCCCTCCAAAGGACTTAACTTCCCTCCACTAGATCCCACTTCCTAAAGGCTCCACTACCTCCCATTATTATCCAGTGGCCTTTAACTCATGAACCTTTGGTGAACATTCCAGACCCAAACTATCACTCGACTTATTGCTAAAAAATAATAGAGATAGTAATACATATTTTAGAGGAAATAGTTATTCTTTCCTCTACCAAGAAGATATCTGTGTTCCCTTTATCAGCTTGCCCAGCGGAAAGTAGAAAAGATCTTGGGAACAATTACTGAGAGTAAAAGTAAACTGGCCTATGAAAAAGGAAAACTCCAGGTACGAGATTTATCTTCATAATTTTATTGTGTCTCATTTGAAAGTATTAGTTATTAATTAAATATTGTTATATTTTAAAAAGACCTAGCTCTGTCATTACTAATTCTATAGCTTATCATTCCCCTAATATCCAAGTGGCACACCAATAATACAATGCTGAACCCTAAATCTGTGAAACCAGAAAACACTCTGTTACTCTTTGTTTTGTTTTGTTTTTGTAAGTCATGGGGCTTGAACTCTGGGCCTTGGTGCTGTCCCTCAGCTCTTCATCTCAAGGCTAGTGCTCTACCACTTGAGCCACAACACCACTTCCAGTTTTCTGATGGTTTATTGGAGATAAGGGTTTCATGGGCTTTCCTGCCCAGGCTGGCTCTGAACTGTGATCCTCATATCTCAACCTCCTGAATAGCTAGGATTGCAGGCATGAGCCACTGGCGCCTGGCATCTGTTACTTTTTGAAGCTTTGTGATAATGATTTTAAGCATGACCAGTGCATGAATGTAGTGCTGCTATGCACTTTTTAAAATGATTTTATAGCACTAGATAAAAATAAGTAACTGAAAATTATCTTTGCAGACAATAGTATGTGGGAGAATGTGATGACACTGTTCTTTTGCTATCTGTTTGTCCTGTGGTATGCACAGAGTAGAAAACCTGCACTGACATGACTTTGCCTACTTACACACCCAACACTAGGAGGTGTATTATGTTTTCCAATTACTTTGAAATGCATCCTAGAAAATATTAGGTTGATGGATCTGTATGAGAATGATAAGTGGATATGTACCACTCAAGTTAAAAAAAAGGTCAGAGACAGAATTTAGAATTTAGGCATTTGAATGTCCATAAAAAGAAGATTCTTTTTTCTGTTTAAAATTTCACATAAAATACAAAGAGAAAAATCCCTATGACTAGAAGCAAATAGGTTAGAATCCTAGAAGTTAATAGACCTGAAAATATTTTAAAACTGCCCAGATGAATCTGGTCATGGTGGCAATGTCTATAATCCTAGCACTTGGGATGCTGAGGCAGGAGAACCTTGAGTGCAAGGCCATACTAGCTATTTAGGGAATCCCTGAATAAGAAAAAAAATCTTAGACTTGGTGACTCTGGAGCTGATTTGATAGATAAGCTCACTAGAGGCTTGCAAACAGGTCAGTATTAACATCTCCTGATCTGCTCAAGAGATAGACCTTAGAATTGGATAGCATAGAAAACTAAAAACAGCAAGTAACTTGAAAGGTAGGTGATTTAAGCCATGCTTGTGGAATAGCATGTTACTAACTAATAAAAGATAAAGCTGTTGGTCTACTACTCATCTACTTTTTAATTTTCCCTATAAGCAATAGTGCATTTAGGTATAATTATCTATGTATAGCATTGAATATGGACACATTGCTGCATGCATGTATATGTTCTCTGTGTGAAAGAATATGAAGATATGATCTTGACCTAAATTACTGCTATTCTCAAGACTGCCTGATAAGCTAGTTATAGAAACTGCTCAGAGATATGAGATAGATAGCATTTAGTATCTCTAGTACCTACCAGGCCTCTGAAAATCAGTAATAGTTGTGTATGACTTGTCCTTCTGTGTTCTTGCCCATTTTGCATATCCAGAGGTAGAATTTCTTAGGGTGGGGTGGTAAACAGTACTAAGGTTTGAACTCAAGCTTGCTAGGCAGGCAATCTACCCATTGAGACACTCTACAAACCCCCTTTTGTGTAGGTTGGTTATTTTCAAGTTAGGGTCTTGGTTTATTGCCTAGGATGTCCTGAACTGCAGTCTTCCTATTTGTGCTTCCTCTCATTGCTAGGATGGAAAATGAATACTACCATGCCCAGCCATTGGTCAAGATGGAGTTTCATGAACTGTTTCTTTTTGCCCAGGCTAGACTTGAGCCTCAATATCCCATGGCTGCCCCCAAGGTAGCTAGGATTCCTAGGCTTGAGCCACCATACCTTGCTGATTTGGAATATCTACCAAATGAGAATCTCAATAGAAAAATCAAATTGCTTTATGAATAATCACATGCCATTTGATGAGTTCCACTTCTTTTTACTGTGTACTTAGAGGCTGGAGGAATACAGCAGATTATCTGAGGATATAGTTTGGAATTAGGACTTTGCTTTACTTGAGAAAAGATACCAACCTACTCTTTAGATTCAAATGCAGTCCATTTTCCCATGGGTTTTATGGGTTAACAGCAGTTGTTTACAGTTAGAATGTGAGTAATTGTTGAATTAATGCTTCCCTTCATGAAACATCATTTTAATTCTGATCTTTATTGAAAACCATGATTAATTTTTACTGCTGCTTTGGGAAGAAGCAGCATGTATTTTATATTGTATATTATACCTTATAGAAAAGAAGAAACAGAAACTGACAAAAGGAAAAAGGACCCTGCTGATTGAACCCAGACTTCCTAAGACACAATGAGCTTTCATGCAGCCTTTCAACTAAATTTACCATTTGTAATCAAATTTTAACAGTTTCTGAAAATGCCCAGTAGTTATGGCCAAAAATGTGTTTGCCTGTCACAGTTAGGCTACAAGAAAAAACATTGATAGAAGAAACAAATGAGAATTTATCAATTTAAAAATTTGAATTGAGGGCTAGCCTGTGATAGAGTAGCTGCCTATCAAGAGACCCTCAGTTCAAACCTCAGCATTTTTTAAAATTTTATTTTCTTATAAAGATGCTGTACAGTTACATCAGTAAGGTAATGAGTACATTTTTTTTCTTTTCTTTTTTTTTTTTTTTTTGGTCATGGAGCTTGAACTCTGGGCCTGGGGCGCTGTCCCTCAGCTCTTCAGTTCAAGGCTAGCATTCTACCACTTGAGCCACAGCACTACTTCCAGTTTTCTGAACGGTTTATTGGAGATAAAAGTCTCACAGACTTTCCTGCCTGGGCTGGCTTTGAACCATGATCCTCAGATCTCAGCCTCCTGAGTAGCTAGGATTAGAGGCATGAGCCACCAGTGCCTGGCTTATGAGTACATTTCTTGGGGAACATTGTTACCCCCTCCTTTGTTTTTCTCCTACTATCCCTTCTCTCTCCTACTCCTCCCTCCTCCCCAAAGTTGTAAAGTTCATTTCCAATATAGTGTCTTGTATCATTGATACAATGGGTCATCCTATGTCCTTGTTTCAGCATTTTGTTTTTCCCTTTCCCTTCCCCAAAGGTACCAAAATCAAATACAGTGACAACAAGGATATTCCATAGGAGGAAGATCAGTATTTAAAAAAAAATAAAAACACTTGTTTTTTGAGTGAAAGCTTTCCTGTTTTAGGGATAGGGCTCAGTGATACTGCTTGCTTTCTACAGATAAGAAGAAAACATAGAAATTCAGATTTGTGAGTATAAATGATTTTGTCCGTCACACACAATTTTCTTTAAAGAAAAAAATATGATAGCCATTAGTCTTCAAATAAAACACAGCAAACATAAATTCTGCTTATTCAACTTTTCTAATTGTTAGTAAAACACAAGAATGTCTTCTTTAACATTAATAATTCTAATTGTATTTTTTAAAGTTTTTTGTAACAACAGATAGCATTTGAAATTGAAATGTATCTACCATTAAATCTCACTTATATTGATTAATCATGTCCATTAGGATTTTTCATAACCAACAGAAACCAAAAAGTGGGTTAGGTGTGGCTCAGGTGGTAGAGCCTCTGCCTCACAGTGTCCTGACAAGTGCAAGGCCATGAGTTCATCCTCTAACAGTGCATGGAGAGAGACAGGAGACTGGACCTGGTAGAGTATGTCTGTAATCTAAGCTGCTCAGGACATTGCTTCAGTCTAGGACATAGCAAGATCTCATCTCAATAAATGAACTGAATATAGTAGCAAACACTTGCCATTCCTACTACTCAGAAATCATAAATGAGGATTAGTGTCCAGGCCAGCCCAAGAAACAAGTGGTAGAACACCTGCTTAATGAATGTAGAACCCTGAATTCAAATTCCAGTACCACCAAAAAAAGCATCACCACTAAGTTAGTTGTAATAGTTCGTGACTGTTATATCAGCTACTAGGAGGAAGCAAGAGAATGTCTGTTCAGAAACAAAACCACAGAAGTGCTAGGAGTGTAACTCAACTGGTAAAGCACTTGGTGCAAGGTCCTAGATTCCAGCCTGAGTACCAAAATAAATAAATAAATAAATTCATACATACATACATAGCTCTAACCAATTTTTTAGCTGTGATTTGAGTTCTTTGCAAAGTTAGAAAAACAGGATTGGGTTTTTTTTTGCAAGTTTTTCCAAGTGTTCTCAGTAAATTTTTGCAAAATTCATGACATCTCCTTCTACGCTTTAGCATATATGAGGCTTATTTTATTTTCTGTTTTCCCTGTAGGTAAAAGTTAAACAGCTAGAAGAGCAACTACATTGTTTTACTGAAACCAGTTTACAGAATGACCATCTTCACATGTTGAATAAGGCTCTAGAGACCAAATATGCTCAGGTGTGATTAATGTTTACAAAAGCATATTGCTATAAGATTGCTGTTCTACTGTTTTAGTTTTAAAGAATTGCACAATGCCTTTCTTCCTGCCTTAACTATATAATCCTGGAGAGATGAGCATCATTCATCATAGTTTTAAATACTTACCATGTACAAAGTTTTAAATACATAGTTTTAAAATACTTACCATGTACAAAGTTCTGCTAAGTTGTAAAGGGATTAATAAAGATGCCTAAAGCAGACATTCAACAAAATATTTAGGAATAGTCACAAATTTTACTATAGAATAGAAAGATACTCCTTTCAAAAATAGGTTGCTTTAATAAACACAGGGAACATTGTTAAGATTAAAAGGACACAGTGCTTTAGTTTTTTTAAAAAATTTCCTTTCTAATTGGTCAGTTTTGATGGCTGAGTTCTGGAATTCAAACTCTTTTGTACAACTACACCCATATACTTTCTATGTTTTCTGTTTTTGTTTTTTTCTTTTTTGTTTGTCAGTTGTGGGGCTTGAACTCTGGGCCTGGCACTGTTCCTGAGTCTTCAGCTCAAGGCAAGCACTCTACCACTTGAGCCACAGTGCCACTTCTGGTTTTCTGGAGGTTAATTGGAGATAAGAGTCTCATGGACTTTCCTTGCCTGGGCTGGCTTTGAACTCTAATCCTCAGATCTCAGCTTCCTGAGTAGCTAGGATTACAGGTGTGAGCCATTGGTACCAGCTTCTATGTTTCTTATAGTGATGTAATTTCTATGTTTTCTGTATCAGATTTAGTTATAACTTAAAGTATATAATCTCAATTCACATTCTTCATTTAAATAAGACAAGTTTATCTAATCTTCTTGTTATTTCTACTGTTGGGGGGTGGGGTAGTCCTAGGGCTTAAACTCAGGACTGGGGCAGTACCCCTGAAGTTTTTGGTCATGGCTAGTCTTCGACCCATTGAGCCACAGCTCCATTTCTGGCTTTTTGGTGGTTAATTGGAGATGAGTATCTAGTAGATTTTCCTCCCAGGGTGACATTGAATCATAATCCTCAGATCTCAGCCTCCTGAATTAGCTAGGATTATAAATGTGAGATACCATCACCTGGCCATTATTTCTAGGAAAAGAAAATCTATCTTCATAATAAAATAGAATTTAAATATAAATATAGATATATATATATAAAGCAGACTGCATACAGAAAAAAATTTCTGTTGACATGGAAAACCATATTTGAAACTGTATAATGTCTAGAAATCAATATATAAGAATAAAATTAAAATCATTTAATATAAAAATATAAATTTGGCCTGGGAAGGTGGCTCAGTGGTAGAGTGCTTACCCATGAGGCCCATGCATGCATGAGCACCACATAAGCAGAAAGAGCCAGAAGTGGCGCTGTGGCTCAAGTGGTAGAGTGCTAGCCTTGAGCTGTAGAGCTAAGGCACAGTGCCCAGACCCAGAGTTCAGGCCTCATGACCGAGAAAAAAAAAAATATATATATATATATACAAATTTTTGTTCAAAATTTTTTAAAAAACCACACAGTGCTTTCAGAGCAGAAGTGGTTCTGAGTATGAGCTTTAAAAGCTTCGGTAGATATAAGGAATACGTGTCCTTATTTTCCAAATTAGAGGCTGACTCAGAACTCAGTGCCAACAAGGTAGACAGACAGATGCTCTCCTGAAAGAGATATTAGTTGTGAAGTGCTTACTTGTCAGCTTGGTGGCTGTTGGAACTGAAACTTTCATAGTCACAAACCATTTCAACAAACAGAGGGGACAAAAGTTAAGCAAGCAAAATATATGAGACACTCAGTGAAGGGCTTAACCCAGAAAGGTCTTACTGAAAGAAAATGATTCATTTCAGTGATTCCAGATTTTCTGTATAGGTAATTTGGATTCATGTAAAAATCTGTAGCACAGGCATGTGCAATACCTGTATCTATGACCTTGGTGTGTATGCACCCTAGTAACCGAGGTACAAGAGTATTGTCTTCAAGTGGAATACTCGGAGAGTTCTGAACAACTGCCTCCGCGGATGAGTGCTGAGGTCACAAAGTTGTAAAGGACACAGCAGCGATGTTCTCCCACAGGAAACCTGCTGTAAGGCCTGTGTCTTTTCTAGGTCGTACTTAACAGTTGACCTCTTTGTTCTGAAAACAAAGAAACACACTTTCAAAAATATATACATATAACTTTATTTATTTGTGGCTTCTTACAGAGCATTCTGAGATTTCTCCTATTAAGTTAGGTATTCCTTGAAAATTAACTGTAGGGTTAGTTGATCTTATTATTTGAATTGGTGATGCCTCCAAGAAAAAGGAGATCTCCAGAGAGGCCTGCATCTTCAAAGTCCCTTGAAAGCACTAGGTCTTACCTAAGTAATGTGAAGGAAAGAGCTCCAGCAGTTGGTTTACCCAGTGTTGTGGCAAACACCACACGCCGTGTTACTTTTGCACCTAACCTGCCTACTATGAAAATCGCTCAGGAGATTGGAGACTCTAGGATCTCTCTAAAGACTCTCTTGAATGCCATTAAAACCATGGAGGGGAGACTAGAAGGCAAAATAGACATTCTTGCCTCAAGACCCTTAGTAACTGATGAGACATCAAATTTTCTTATACCCAATTCGGTAAGTAAAAACACAAATGATACCTTTTTCCTAACTTAAGAGTGAAGCATGTAATGATAATCTGTAAAGATAATACTCACAGAGGCAAATATCAATGAAATTTGCTACTTCATAAATGAGAAAAATTAATGATATACATTAACACCATTATTATGACTATAACATAATTTTCTAACAAAATTTGGCTTAATAGTAAGTGAACTTTTTAAATCTTACTTTAGTTTTATAAAAATTCAAAAACATCTAATCTTTACAATTGGACTGAAATACTTGGGTAAAGTTTGATTTTAAAATAGAAATAAGATAACTCAAGTCATCCCCAAAAAAATTGAACTGGAAAATATTTTTAAGAACAAATAAATTAAAACATTTTTGCTTGGTATTTCAAAATAAAATATAGCTTGTCTTCTGAACTGGACTGCTACTTAGATACTCTCTGCTAACATTTTTTTCTTGCAAAAATTTTTAAAAACTGTGTGTGTCCCTGAATACTTTTCTAGAACAAAATTCAGGAGATTTTTCAAAACCTGTAAGTTGACTTAATTTGCCCTCTCGGATTCTTACAGAAAAAGTTGAAGTTTTTGTTGGTTGGTTCTGGATAGTTCTTGGGTTTGAATTCAGGACCACATGCTTGCAAGGCATTCTACCACTTGAGCCACCACTCCAGCCTCTTTTTGCATTATTTTCCAGGTAGGGTCTACCTTTATACCTGGACCAGCCTAGCTATGATCCTCCTACTTGTGTTTCCCTATGTCTCTGGGGATGACAGATATAGGACTCTATACTGGTTTCCCTCAAGTAGGCTGGGGTAACAGGCATGTGCCTTGTGCCCAGCATTTGATTGATGTAAAATCTCACAAACTTCTTATTTTGCCACAGCTGGCCTAGATCCCATAATCTCCACCTCCCACAGAGCTGAGATTACATGCTTGAAGTATTTTAAATATTGCAAGCGAAAGAAATATAAATACACTGAAAAAGATATGAGGAAAAGACATACTTTGTGGCTGTTGGCTGTTGTAACATGATACAACTTCCTACTGAGAACAATTTGTTAAGACTTGTCAAAAGTTTTACCCCATGATTTTATTTCTAGGATTTTTAACGTGAAGCTATAACAAATTGCAAATATGTCTACATTGATACTTTCTGAAGTATTGCTTAATTGCAAAAGATTGTCAGTAAGAGACTTCCAAAAGACTCTCAGAAAGAGACTGGTGAAATAAATCACAATTACAATAGAAATTTAAGAGATGTGTATTATTAGGCTTAAGCAATCAAAGTTCAGAAAGTTTATGATATACATTGTGTGTATATATATACATGTATATAGTATTTTACTATTTGTGTGCAAACAAAAGGTAGGTAAAGAGTATATATTAATTTACTTTTATATGCATAGGACATCTCTAAAATAAGTCATAATAAACTTGCAACATTCATTTTAATAGTACTAGGGCTTTGAACTCATTGCCTTGGACTTGCTAGGCAGACACTACCACTGAAGCCTCACTGCCAGCCTTTTCTGCTTTATTTTTTTCAAATATGTCCAGGCTGGCCTGGACTGAAATCCTCCTGATTGTGCTTCCTGCGTAGCTAGGGTGACAGGTGCAGGCAACTATGCCAAGGTTTTTTTTTTTTTTATTATTGGTTGAGATGGAGATTTCATCAACTTTTTGCCTAATCTTCCCACAATAGCTGAGATGAAGCAGATGAGATTGCAGGTGTAAGAAAAAGTGCTTTTGAGGAAGGAACTGAATGGATAGAAGAAACTTTGGGAATACTAGTAATGTTCTCTATCTTTACAGTGGTTTCAAGGACTTGATATATATATATATATAGAGAGAGAGAGAGAGAGAGAGAGCTCATCCCACTATACCCTTTATGAATTTATAGTTTATTGTATGTCAGTTATACATCTGTAAAACTGTTTAGAGAAAGGATAATATGAGTATATTGTCTTTTAAATTTTGTCCTTAAAACACTTAATATTTTGACAGGATAGAACTAGAGATAGAGAACAGATTAGTGATTGCTGGGGGTGGATGAGCTTTGGAGGGCAGCAGATCAGAGGTAACAAAGGGAAAGAGGTAGTGAGGGAACCCTTCTACATCTTGACAAGTGCAGGTCATGGGAATGTGGGGTCTCTGTATGCACATACGCCACACACACATGGGTGGGTGGAAGATTTGAAAAACAGTGAAGTCTGAATAAATTCTGTAATCTAAGTAATTAAATCACATGCCAAATTCAATTTCCTGGTTTTGACATTGTACAACAGGAGATTCTGTGAGCCTACAATTATTTTGAGATAAAAGTTTATAAAATGAATAGTATTTTATGAAGTGTGATTGTCTCAAATGATTGTGTGCATCTACTAAAGTGCTTTAAGGGTATAAAGTATAATATTTCTATAGAATTTATTCTGCTATAGTACTGTTTTATAAATAACAATTGATTTTAACTCATCTTGGCTTTTATTCCATCAATTTATTCATTCAAAAGGAAGCAAGCTAGTTCCATCATCATGTTTCTCCCCTCATATGACATGTCAGCCTTACTGTCTTATGATATGCCTGTTTTTATGGAGATTGACTGACATATTAGATTTTCACATTTTTTTATTCACAGGTATTTTTATTACTTGGTAATCCACTGAGAGTAGTGTATAAATTTTTAATTAATCAAGTATAGTTTTTAAATTGCTGTCCCCAATTTATTGTGTTTTGGAAAGTAATGTGTTGTTTCTTTTTCTACACTTAAGGTGAAATTACTTCTTGAAAAAACCGACCAGGATCTGTCACAAGCAGTGAACAGTCGTGATGCGGCCTTGAAGGAAAGTCAGAAGTTGAAAGAGGACCTGGATATGTTGGAGGACAGGGAAAGCAAAAAGGCAAGTCACCCTCCTTTTTGAAGGCAGCCACAGCCATATTCCTTAACCTCTTGTTTCTAGTAGAAAAAAGGAGTAAGGGCTATTCAGAGGATTTCTTCTCTAGAATGATTTTAAAATACTTCCCCTAAAGATCACATTATGTAACTCTCAATGTTTGCATTTGTTTTTTTTTTCTTTTGATGCTTTAAGTAGACCAAAAGAAAACAACTTACACTATTTTTTATATTTGAAAATTATATATAAAAAGTAAAACCCATGGGCTGGAAAGGTGGCTCAGTGGTAGAGTGCTCGCCTTGCATGCATAAGGCCCTGGGTTCCATTCCTTAGCACCACATAAGCAAAAAAAGCCAGAACTGGACTGTGGCTCAGTTGGTAGAGCACTAGCCTTGAGCTGAAGAGCTGAGGGACAGCAGGCAGGCCCAGAGTTCAGGCCCAACGACTGACAAAAAAAAAAAAAAAAGCAAAACTCACATGTCCCTGGTAATACTACCCTTCAGAATTCTTTTGGGTTATTTTTGCTTGGTTATTTGGTTGACTGGTTGGCTGATTTGGTTTTCTCTTGGCTTTTATGACAGAGTCTAGTTTTGAAATTCAGGCTATCTTCTAAGTTATTCTACTTCATTCCCCAACACAACTCCAAGATGGAATTGTAGGCATATGCCACCATGCTTGTCTTTTTCATACTTGTGTTTTATTAGTTATGGTATAACAGTATCATAATGACTTCTCCTTCACACTTCTTTTGTTGTTGCTGTTTTATTTTAATTTTTTTAAGTTATTTGATCCTGAATTGTCAAAGCAACAATATTCTGAAGTATACAAACTTGAGTTAAGGATAGATTATGCAGAACAATCTGGAAAAGGAATTAAAGAGATTATATAGATAAATATTTTAGTTTGATTTAAAAAAAACAGAGCCTAAGATTTTGGTATCAAAAGATGATTTTAAAAGGTGACTCCACTTCTTTGATGTGTACTCAGTGAGAATATAAGTCACATCCCAAACGTTTAAAATGCATTTATATTTTCAATTGATTCATTGTGATTTTGCATATTTATTGGATACTGTATGATAGTTCAGTATATTTATACAGTCAGCAATGATCAAATATCTATCTCCTCTAGCATTTATCTTTCTTTGTATTGGAAACATTTGAAAGTGTATTACCTGCATTATAGTATTTATCTTTGAAATGTTCGTTTGATATCAACCATCATTATTATCCTACTGTACATAGAACAGAACAGGGTGCTCCTATTCACCAGGAGCCTGTCCTTACAACCATCTCATATCCATCCATTCCCCTCTTCCCAGGCTTTGGCAGCCACTATTCTCTACTTCCATGAAATCAACTCTTTAGCTTCCACATAGAAGTGAGAACATATAATACTTGTCTTGTACAGAAGTTTGAACTCAAGACTTTATATTTGCTAAGAAAACCCTGTACTACTTGAGCCATACATGCAGCCCTTTTTTGCCTTAGCATTTTTCAGATACACTCTTCTCCTTTTTGCTTAGGTCAACCTTGGACTCCAGTCTTCCTACCTATACCTCCCATGTAGCTTAGGTTACAGGTGTGGATCACCATGCTTGGCTTGCTTGTTGAGGTGTGAGCCTTTTGCCCAGGCTAGCCTCAGACCATGATCCTTCCCATCTCTAACTCCTGAGTTGCTAGAATTATAGGCATGTACTAACACACTTAGCCCAATATTTGAACATTTGTTTTTGTGTGCTTGACTTAGTTTATATTTTAGTTAACATAATATACTATTACATACATATTGCTACAAATGGCAGAATTTAGTTTTTGTTGTTTTTTTTTGTCAGTCCTGGGGCTTGGGCACTTTCCCTGACCTTCTTTTGCTCAAGGCTAGCACTCTCCACTAGCCACAGTGCCACTTTAGGCTTTTTCTGTTTACGTAGTACTGAGGAATTGAACCCAGGGCTTCATGCATGCAAGGAAAGCACTAAGCCACACTGCCAGCCTGAATTCCATTATTTTTATGGATGAGTAATGTCTGTTTTTTGTTGTTGTTGTTGGTCATGGGGCTTGAACTCTGGGCCTGAGCGCTGTCCCTCAGCTCTTTGGCTCAAGGCGAGTGGTCTACCACTTGTGCTACAGCGCCACTTCCGGTTTTCTAGTGGTTTATTGGAGATAGGAGTCTCACAGTCTTTCCTACCCAGGCTGGCTTTGAACCTCGATCCTCAGATCTCAGCCTCCTGAGTAGCTAGGATTACAGGTGTAAGCCACCGGCACCTAGCTAGAGTATGTCTATTCTTTATAAACCACATTTTCCCCTATCAGTTCATTCATCTATATCTCAAACTTTTTGAGAGTAAATATTAACTTTTGCTCCTTTGAAGAGGGCATGAGTTGCAACCTTCTTCAGAAGCTCCCATGTTCTCCTTGTCTAATTTTTTAATCTTTGGATAATTTCAGATGGGTTCTCTTCTGACCCCATCAGGAAGCCAGCAGAGCACATCAGCCTGGAGCCTAAAAACTGTTGGCCCCAGTGCTTCCAGTGTGTGTGTGTGTGTGTGTGGTGACAAAGTTGGGAAGCTACCAGGTTTTCCACAGGATCTAGGGCCTGCTTTTCTTTTTCTCCAAGTCACAGTAATTTAAGAAAAACTAACTATTCCTCTTTCTACCTCAACTGCTTTCCATACTTTTTCCCAGGAATAAGGGAACCCCAAAGAGTAGCAAGAAAGCATCAGAGAACTTGGACTTGTTTCACTGTGTTTCAGGTAGGAAACTTTCAGCGGCAGTTGGCAGAGGCTAAAGAAGATAATTGCAAAGTCACCATCATGCTGGAAAACGTTCTGGCTTCTCACAGCAAGATGCAAGGAGCTCTGGAGAAAGTCCAGATAGAGCTGGGGCGGCGGGATTCCGAGATTGCAGGCCTCAAGAAGGAAAGGTACCTGTGACTGTTTTTCTGTCTAAGGATGAAATAAAGTCACTTTTATGTCACTTCCTTTATGGAAAAACTAGTAAAATGGTGGTTAGAGAACTAGCATCTTAGAGGAAACTGTGGTCACAAATGGTTTGTAAAAATTCAAGATTTCCTTTTTTTTTTTTTGTAGTTGTATGAAAAAGAATATACCTGAGCTGAGAATGTGGCTTAGTGGTAGAACGTTTATCTAGCATGCATGAGACGCTGGGTTCGATTCCTCTGTATCACATCAATAAAATAGTTTAAAAAAAAAAAAACGAACTGAGAAATGGGAAAGTCCCATTTAAAAAAAAAAAGAATATACCTTCAAGTTCATGTGAGAGATCCTGGATTTGATTTCTAGCACCAGCCAGGACTGTCCAGGGTCAAGGAGGAAGAAGAGAGCAGGCATGGTGGCATATACCCGTAATCCCCAGCTATTTGGGAGACAGATAGGAGACAGAAGGAGTTCATTGAAGACTAGCCTGGGCAAAGTTACCAAGACCCTATCTCAAAAACAAGCCAGGCATACTGGCCTATGACTGTCATCCAGCTCCTTAGGAGGTTAAGATTAGAGGATCACAGTCCAAGATTTAAATGTCAGAGAAATGCAGAGACCCTACCTGAAAAATCCTAAGCATAGTGGCTCACACTTGTAACCCTTCCTGGTAAGGAGTGGGAGATCAGGAAGTCCTGAGATGCTATGAAAATGTTCACAAAAAGGTCACAAGACCTCACCTCAACCAATAAAAAGCCAGATGTGGCATCTGTGTTTTCACAGCTGCATAGAAAGCCTAAGTAGGAAATTGAGGCCTGGACCAGCCTGGGCATATACCTATGAGAACCTATTACACAAATAACCAGAGCAAAAAGGGACCAAGGAGCCAGGCGCTGGCGGCTCACACCTGTCATCCTAGCCACTCAGGAGGCTGAGATCTGAGGATCATGGTTCAAAGCCAGCCTAGGCAGGAAAGTCCATGAGACTCTTATATTAACCACCAGAAAACCAGAAGTGGCACTGTGGCTCAAGTGGTAGAGCACTTGCCTTGAGCTAAAGAGCTAAGGGATAGTACCTAGGCCCAGATTTCAAGCCTCATTATCAAGAAAAGATAGAAAAAGAAAAGAAACAAAGAAAAGAACAGAAAAGAAAAGGGACCAAGGGTGTAGCTTAATTGGTAGACTGCTTGCCTAGCAAGCAAAAGGCCTTGAATATGAATCCCTAGTACTACCTAAATAAACATAAACAGAAAGCGGGTTGCTTGAGTGGGAGAGCAATTGGTAGGAAGCATAAGACTTGAGTTCAGTCCCCAGTATTACACAAAAATGCCTATAGTTTGAGTTAATTTTGTTTGTTTGTTTTTGGGTGCTGGTCCTCATGGCCTGAATGCTGTTCCCTGAGTTCTTTTTGCTCAAGGCTAATAATACTCTACTACTTGAGCCACAGCTCCACTTCACTAACTTTTATAGTAATTTATTGGAGATAAGAGTCTCATGGACTTTCTTGACTGGGCTGACTTCAAACCACGATCCTCAGAACTCAGCCTCCTGAATAACTAGAATTACAGATGTGAACCATCAACCCTCAGCTTGAGTTGATTATTAATCTATTACTATTCTGTTCAAGATAAATAATTATTTTAGGCTAGTCTTTCTGAGAACTATTTCTTGCCACGTTTTATAAATAAACTCCTTTGAATACTTAAAAAATTTCATGAATTTCCCTTTTAGCTTAAAAACATGATATGAGTCAAATAGAGCCTCTAAAATATATTATGTGTATTAGTAGTGTAAATACTCTGTTAAAATAAGTAAATCCTGTTTTCTTCATTGTACTTATCTTTATGTTTACGTATTTTGAATTTTAAAAGTGTTAAGGGATAGTAATAAATATTGTTTACTTGTCAATGTAAATTTCTAAGTAGCAACAGCAAGCCAGTCCTTACAGAAGTGATTTTTCTTAACATTGCTATGTATAGTGTGACACTGCCAATCTACAAGTTATTAGAAACATGTACTGATAGCCTAATGTATTAAGCCAAATTGAATCATAGATGGAACAGTTTTTTTCCTCAGAATTTAAGTTTCTTCACCTGAAGATGATGCTGTAGTCGTCATCTACCAACTCTCAGATATTTTGAGCATTTGTGGCTACTGTAGAAAATGCTTGTTGACTTCCTGGAAGAGTGTCCTGAAATTCATAGAGCTTCTCTTACATAGTCATTCTTCTTGTGGTTTCTATTCCAGAGCTCTAAATCAACACAGGGTTCAGAAGCTGGAGGCTGAAGTGGACCAGTGGCAGGCCAGGATGCTTGTTGTGGAAGCTGAATACAGCAGTGAGGTAGAAGCCAGGTGTTTATTGATCATAACATTGATTGGTTGCAATTTATTAGGCATTATTATTTTAGAAAACTGAATTTGAACAATCATGTGAATTTCTTTTTCATTTAAGTCTGAATTCAAACTGTGACATTTCTAAATAAAAAATGGACTTACAGTGAATCATTTATTATCAAACCAGGACCATAATTATAGATAATTCTCCTTGTTTTATGTGGCCCACATTCTTTTCATTTATTAATGAATAAATATTTCCAAAGTCAAAACACTTGGAAAAAAATTTTATAATTTCAGAAGTAGCTAGAATGATCCCACTCTGAATCAAGACACATACATCCATGTGTACACACATGGTTTGTATCTACACATATGCATTCATATAATATATACATAGATATTTGATTAGTAAGCTTTCTTTAGAAGAATATGCAAGAAGAGATCCTGGTTTTATATGTTCCCTAGAGAATGAGACTAGAAGGTGAAAGGATCAGGACAAGGAATTTAGTTATAATTTCTTTTAGTTAAGATAAGACTGGGGCTGGGAAGGTGGCTCAGTGGTAGAGTGCTTGCCTCGCAAACATGAGGCCCTGGTTTCGATTCTTCAGCACCAAATAAGCAAAAAGAAAAAAAGCCGGAAGTGGTGCTGTGGCTCAAGTGGTAGAGCGCTAGCCTTGAGCTGAAGAGCTGAGGGACAGCGCCCAGGCTGCCCAGATAAAACTGGCTCTATTTTCCCATGCTCTCTTGTTGCCAGTGGAGCATACTCTTCTTATTGCCTTCTAAGAGTCTCCTAAGCAATACTGTAATGAGTTGTTACATACATTTCCCATACCTGGAACATTTTTTGTGGTTCTAATTAAAGATGCAGTGTGAGGAGTAAAGACAGTGCTGTATACTTATTGCATCTGTTATTGTAGAATTAAAGGCACTCTTTTCTCTTTCAGATGGAACCTCTTCAAAAATCTCTAGATATAACTAGAGAAGACAACAGAAAACTCGCCCTGAGTCTGGAGCAAGCTCTCCAGACAAACAGTCATCTGCAAACTAAGCTAGATCAGATGCAAGAAAAACTGGAAACCAAAGAAATTGAGAGGAAGAATTTGGAAGCCTTCAGGTAGGAGCAGTATAGTCACATGACACTGGGGAAGAGCATCTGAAGGAGTAAGTCCAGCTCACTCACATGGGCCAGTCAAACCATTTTCTCCTAATCGAGCTAGAACTTCCAGCCAAACCACGATGAGGAGCCAGCACAGCTGATAGGCAGCAGATAATAGTTGCCTGGGGCAGCGCTCCATTTGAGAGAAGAGTAAACCAAAATTTAAAGGATATTGATTGGAAGGGACATTGTGTTTCTGCCAAACTTAATGCATCCTTTACAAGCATGATTTGAGTCAAGCATGATGGTGAGCACCTATAATCTCAGCACTTGGGAGGTACAGGCAGGAAGATTGTTTAAGGCCAGCCTGGGCTACATAGTAAAACATTATATAATATGATACACAATAATATTATAACAATAGTAATAATAATAGAAATAAAAGTATGATTTTGAAAATGAATAATAGCAATCCAGAAAGGGCTAACCCATAAGATTGGGATGACTCCATCTAGGCAGATATGAAGCCATTTTTCTCCCTTTTTATGGTAAAGGGTTTTTAAATCAGAGTTTCACACTTTCTAGGCAGGCATTATTCTACCTCTTCAGCCATTCTTCCAGCTCCTTTTGCCCTGGTTATTCTTGAGATAGGGTCTCACTTTTTGCCAAAGTAAGCCTGAACCACAACCCCTGTTTATGCTTCACACAATAGGTGGAATGATAGGCACCTGCCACTATTCCCAGCTTTGGTTGAGATGGAATCCTGTGAATCCTCTTTCCTAGACTGCCCGAACCCTGCTCCTTCTGATCTCAACTACATATCTGGGATGGTGGATGTATGCCAATATGTCAACTGTTTGTTGAGAAAAGAGTCTTGTGAACTTTTGGCCTGGCCTCAAATTTTGATTTCCCAATATCCTGCTCCACCCCCATGTAGCTGGAATTATAACTATGAGCTACCAGCATCTGGTAATTATTTTCTATTTTGAAATGAAATTTGTTATATTAAACCCGTCATATTCAGGCAAGCTACATGGTGGGTCTAGCTAAATACAATTCCAGGAAAATTTATACCTAAGGGAAATGTAATGTTCATATAGATCTGCATTCTTGTCTATTAGTATTCATATTGATGAAGTATCAAGTGATAAGATATTACACACCACTTTTCATGTCTGTAATCTGTGCTAATTTTACATTATGATGATTTCTCAGCACCACTTAAAACAATATTGTGTTTCTAATGGTGGTTAGCTGAATTGTTTAAAGCCTTTTAACTGTCAACTTTGTTTTTTGTTTTGTTTTGGATTTTTGTTTTGTTGTTTTGTTGGTTGTGGGGTTTGAACTCTGGGCCTGGGCGCTGTATCTCAGCTCTTCAGCTCAAGGTGAGCATTCTACCACTTGAGCTATAGCACCACTTTCTTTCACTGTCAACTTTGGTAGTTATGCTTGGATGGTTAGTAAGTCCATCTGAACCTTGAAGATTCTTCATTGACCATGAAATATAGCCCCTCCTCTGACCTGAAAAGGTCACGTATAGGAAAAGCTGACGTGTGAGACTCAGAAGTCCTCTTGAAGCATTTGCTTCAGAATTTACTGTTATATCACTGCTTATAATAGCTTAAATTATGACTCGTGCTTATAGAATGAATCATGCTTTACCTGAGATCTATGAAGTTATACAAATTAAAATTATACATATCTGTGTAAAAATTTCAAGAAACAGAGAACAAGTTTGTGAGATTGTACTTCAGACATTGTTGACTTTGAGGTAGAATTATCATCTTAGACATTTACAGATTAGAATTCATTTTGATGAAGATAAGAGTTGTTGTGTTGGAGTGGACTAGTCTACTGTGGGGGATGTATAGAGAGAGCCAAATTATAACTTGAGCATCCCATTACATTTCAGAGGGAAGGAACAGAGGCCACTGATGACTGATCTACTGCTCTGAAAATCATACACATTCCCTCCCAAGTCTGACATAATTCAATTTCTAAAGCTGGTTTATCATGTCTTCTTCAAAACAGAGAACGGATGACTGAGGAATCCAAAATGGAAGCAGAAGTGCATGCAGAACGCATAGAAGCTCTAAGAAAGCAGTTCCAGACGGAGAGAGAAACTGCAAAGAAGGCGTCACAGCGGGAGCTTGCTGAGGTAGGGGTCCGTCTGGATGTGCACCTCTGCAGGGCAATCACAGAGGACCTCAGAGTGGCTGCAGTTGTTCTTTGCCTCTTCTGTTCCCCGCTGCACCTCCCCCAAAAAAACTAAACCATCTTTGTGCTGTTTGTAAAGCACTCTTTATAAGAAAACCATTTCTGACATACGATTATTTGCCTAGTGAAGAAATACCTTTAAAATAACATTTCCATATTTTGACAGATAGAAAAGTGTGTACAGAAACTCAAGTACATTCTTCTTTATGTTAAGCATTACAATCCTTGAGAATAATCCCTGCATAACTTCGCCCTTCTCAGCTGCCTCCTCTTTTGTAAAGGCCAAGAAACATTGATTTAAAGGAACATTAAGGGCTGGGAAGGTGGCTCAGTGGTAGAGCGCTTGCCTTGCATGCATGAGGCCCTGGGTTCGATTCCTCAGCACCACATAAGCAAAAAGAAAAAAAGCTGGAAGTGGCGTTGTGGCTTCAGTGGTAGAGCACTAGCCTTGAGCTGAAGAGCTGAGGGAAAGCGCCCAGGCCCAGAGTTCAGGCCCGACAACCGGACCCCCCCCCCAAAAAAGAACATTAAGAGGAAGGGAAATCTATACATTTATGTAAGTAATCATTATGAAATCATTATGATGTTTTTCCATGAGACAAATACTTTAAATTCTTTAGGAACAAAAAGCAATACTATAAAAATATATGCAAGAAATGTACTTACTACCTTACTGATATAACTTTAACCCTTCTGTACATCACTTTAGCAATAAAAAAGAAATTTTGAATTAAATAAGATAGACATAAGAACTGAAAAAAATGCAATAATAGTCAACAACTGGAAAATTTTTGTATAAGCCACCATATAATTTATGTTCTTTTCTCAACATATGAGATTGCAAGTGTCAGAAAGCAAGAGAAAAGCTTATAGCTTGATAATAATCACTGAGCCGTGTGTAACAGGCTCTATATTCTTTCTGTATATTTTCTTTTTTTTTTTTTGGGTCCGGTTGTGGGGCCTGAACCCTGGGCCTGGGCGCTGTCCCTCAGCTCTTCAGCTCAAGGCTAGCGCTCTACCACTTGAGCCACAGAGCCACTTCTGGCTTTTTTCATTTTGCTTATGTGGTGCTGAGGAATTGAACCCAGGGCCTCAGGCATGCAAGGCAAGCACTCTACCACTGAGCCATCTTCCCAGCCCTCTGTATATTTTCATTTGCCTTTAATGTATATCTTGGGGGGGGGTCCAGTTGTGGGGCCTGAACTCTGGGCCTGGGCACTGTCTCTCAGCTCTTCAGCTCAAGGCTAGCACACTACCACTTGAGCCATAGCACCACTTCTGGCTTTTTTTTTCCTGCTTATGTGGTGCTGAGGAATCGAACCCAGGGCCTCATGCATGCAAGGCAAGCGTTCTACCACTGAGCCACCTTCCCAGCCCCTTAATGTGTATCTTATGGTAGGTTATATACATATTTTATAGCTGATGAACTTGAGACTTGAGGAACTTAGTTACCCCAGCCTACTCAGCAAGTAAATGGTAAAGCTGAATCTGGAACTCAAGTCTGTTTTATTTCAAAGCTGTGCTCTTAAAGTACAAATAATAAATATACATATACATCATTTATCTATTCTAAGATATATTTTGTCCTTTACTGTTAAAATTTATGCAAATCACTTGATAATGTTCCATACATCTGCTCATACCAGCGTTTTTGTGTCACTTTAAAAAAAAAAAAAAAGATTGATCCAGCTAGGCACAGTAGTCCATACTTGTAATCCCAGATAGTTAGAGATGAGGAAGATTGCAGTTCAAGACCAGCCAGGGCAAAAAGTTAACAAGACTCCATTGCACAAATAAGCTAGTCATGATGGTTTATGCCTATGATCCCTGAATGTGAGATAAGTAGATCTCATTTCAGCCAGTCCCAGGCAAAAACCCAGACCCTATCTATCTAAAAATAGAACTAAAAAGCAAAATGGGCCAGAGGCATGGCTCAGTTAGCAAAGTGCTTGCTTAGCAAGCACAAGGCCAAGTTCAAAGCCTAGTACTACCCAAAAACAGGTAGGTAGACAGATATGTAATTGACTGATAGATAGACAGACAGATAGGTAGCAAGACAGCAAAATGTAGGGGGAAAACTAAACAAAACAAACGTTTGTTATTGAATGTTCCATTGTTTTTCCTTTGTGTGCTAGGTAAAGAAAGCACTTGAAGAGGCCAATTTCAGATCAGTGGAAGTGTCCCGGACAAACAGAGATCTGCGGCAGAAAGTCTCAGAGCTGGAAAAAGTAATGAACAGTAATAAGGAGAAACTTAAGAGTCAAAAGGCCCAAATAAAGCTCTATTTGTCAGCAAAGGCAAATAATGCTCAGAATGTAGAGAGAATGAAGGTGTGTGAGAAACCCTGAGCCTCCTCTTACTTCCTTACTGGGCTATGAGGGCCCAGGCAGTGGGTGTCTGGGGGAGAGGTTCAGAGCCCTCAGAACAGCGTGCATTCTCTGGGAATTAAAGAGATACCGGAGAAGTGGGCTTATCTCTGTCTCGCAGAAGAGGCAACTGTGTAAATGGAGACTCCTCATTAGCTGCTAGTGTCACATTTTGGCTTCCTTGTTTGTCTTTTCTGCAATGACTGTACTTCACCTTGCTCTTCTGGGGTCAGTGAGCTGGACAGGAAATTGGAGTCCAGTGATCACTTTGGGTCTCAATGGGATTGTGTCCGGCTTCCTATAGGTAAATGAACAACAATTTTCAAACTAATGATCTTTTGTTACTTCTACACTTGCTTTCAGCAAATAGAAACAGAATTGAGGCAAATGGAGATAATTAAGGATCAATACCAGAAAAAAAACTATGAGCAGGTAGATTTCCACAAATTCTTATGTTCACCATTCCCTTAATTTTAAGCTTACACAAATTCACAAATGCCTTCCTCTGTTCCTTTCCAGTCACTGAGTATCCAGAGATTTGTATCTGAAATGGCTACCCTGCAGAAAGAGATGCAGCTATTAGCCAAGAGCCAATATGAAACCTCAGCACGGAATAAACAGCAAGAGCTGCGACTAGCAGCAGAGCGGAGAATGAGGCAGGAGCTAGAAAACCGATGCCAGGTAAAAGGCACCTTAAAATTCCTCTCTTAAAAGCACCAATAGTGACATGTGCCTAAGCCCAGCAGTTTATTTTCAGCACCTAGATTTTTTCAGAGGATTCTGTAGAAGAAAACACAGGTTTCTAAGTTGTTCATCTTGGCCAAGTTCTTAGCAGGAGGTATTATGTACTTTTTTCCTTGTTGTGACAAATGCCTGATGTAGACAATTTAAAGGAAGTATGATGTATTTTCATATTTCAGTCTACAATTCTGGGCTGTGTTGTGCCATGGTGAGGCAAAGATCATGGCATAGTAAAAGACTGTGGTACAAAGTCAATGTGTCAGCGAGCATGGAGAGGAAGATGCTGTTCACCTCATGGCAAATAGGAAGTTGAACTAGAAGGGAACTGGAGACCAGGTATATTCTTCCAAGTCATGCCTCTAGTGGCCTACTTCTTCCAGTGAGGTTGGACCTCTTCAAAATTTCCACTGCCTTCCAAAATAACACCACCAGCCCGAAACCTAGTATTCAACACATAAACTGTGGGAACATTCCATCTTCAAGCTGTAACAAATGATACTATCTAGGAACAAACTCATAGCTTAGGTTTTCATTCTCAATTAATTAAAAAAATGTTTACTTTTAAAGAAGTTTGTATCTACAACATCCCACTTACTAAAAACGATTTCTGAACTGTGTTTCAGAAGTCTTATTTCTGAATAGTCTTACAGGAACTATGTTCCTCTTGATCTCTCCCTATGGTGCTGTTAAGGAATCTGAGCTATTTCTTTTCTTTCTTTTCTTTTAGAATTGAGTGTCATAATATTTCCATTATTCCATACCCTAACATGGTCAAGAGACTCAAATTACTACAATCGACATCACTGCCCCTAACCTAGGGTCTTTAAAGGTACAATTTGCTTCATGTTGGAACTGATTACCTTATTCATCTTGGAAGTTGAGATATGTTTTGTCTTTACTTAGAATAGACTGTCTCTGATTTGCTTAAAACTATGATCTACTTTACTTTGAATGCTAGTCCCTACTCATAGAAATCTATTCCAGGGCCATTTCAAAGCAGATTAGACACTGTCAAAAAATTCACACAATGCTTCCATTATTGAAGTCTTGTAGTACACTCTTTAATCTCAGTAGCAATTACCAGTTAGCAGAAATCTTTCCTACAGACATGAGTATATCTAAATGAACTAATCATTATTTCTTACATAAAATATGAGTTGCCATATTAAAACCATACCATGAAAATATTACTCTATCCATTTTTTATATTTTTATTATCTTTAAGTAGTTGTATAACGGGATCTTAATTCAATTTGTCAGTATTTGTGTACAATGCATCTTGGTCAGTGTCACCCTGCCATCTATCCCAAGCCCAGATTTCCCAATTTAATCTTCATATATGCACATTAAGTATTAACTTATTAATATGACTGTATTAATATTTATTAATACGACTGTTCATCCACCCTTCTTCTCTTCATCCAACCACTCTCTTAGTTCTTACCCCCTTGAGCAAAATATGTGTCAGCCTCCTGATATTAATTTTGTTAAGATGTCAGTTGTTCAAAGTAGTTATACCATGGAAACAAAACCCATCCCCACATATACTACACTTAGTCACTTTGCTTCTATATATGCATGCTATAACCTTATATGTGTTTTTACATTATATCTAACATCCGCATATATGCTCTTTGTCTTTCTGAGCCTAACTTCCTTTACGCAATGTAAGTATTTTCCTAGTCCATCCATTCATTTTTCCTGATGGATAAATAAAATTCCCTTGTGTGTATACACACACACACACACACACACACACACACACAGAACATTTCTGTGATCCATTGATGAGTTGTAGGGAATCTGGGTAGTTAACCTGGCTATTGTAAATATGTACTAATGAACATGGGTATGCATATAACTTTATTAAATCTTGCCTTGCAGTCTTTTGAATAAATGCCCAAGAGTAATATTACTGGATCCTTAGAAGGTGCTGTTTTTAGTTTTTTGATATATCTACATCCTGATTTGCCTCATGCTTGCTCTATTTTTACATTCCTACTGTCCATTAGAAGAGTCCCTTTTGTCCCACATCCTCACCAGGAAAATTATTTTTCTTCCTGATAATGGCCAATCTGATTGGAATGAGATGGGATCTCTGTGATGTTTTGACTTACATTTCCCTTATGGCTAGGGATGTTGAGCATTTTTTAAATTAATTTATTAGCCATCCACACCTCTTCTGAGAAGTATCCATTTAGCTCTTTTGACCATTAATTAATTGAGTTGTTGATTCTTTGAGGGTTTAGGATATTTTTAGATCCTTGCATATTCTGGTAATTAGACCCTTGTCAGACATATGGCTAGCAAAGATCTCCACTTCTGTGTGGGCTATCTTTTTAACTTAGTAACTATATCCTTTGGTGTAAAGAAGCTTGCTTTTTTGTTGTTGTTGTTGTTGTTGGTGGTGGTGGTGGTGGTGGTGGTAGTGGGGCTTGAACCCTGGGCTTGGGTGCTGTCCCCACGCTCTTCAGCTTAAGGCGAGCGCTCTACCATTTGAGCCACAGCGCCACTTCCAGTTTTCTAGTGGTTTATTGGAGACAAAAGTCTCCTGGCTGGCTTTGGGCCAGGATCCTCAGAACTCAGCCTCCTGAGTAGCTAGGATTACAGGCATGAACCACCAGCTCCCAGCAAGAAGCTTTTTAGAATGCAATTCCATTTGTCAGTTCTTACTCAGAAAGTTCTTCTCTATGCCATGAGTTCTAGTGTTTTCCCTACACTTTCCTTATAGTAGTTTCAAGGTTTCAGGTCATTGAAGTCTTTGATTGACTTTGAATAGATATTGGTAAAAGGTAAGAGCTGTCTTTTGCATATGAATATCCAGTTTTACCAGCACCATTTTGAAGGAGATTATCATTTTTCTTTTTCTTTTTTTTTGGGGGGGGGTCCAGTCATGGGGCTTGAACTCTGGGCCTGGGCGCTGTCCCTCAGCTCTTCAGCTCAGGGCTAGCGCTCTACCACTTGAGCCACAGAGTCACTTCTGGCTTTTTTCTTTTTGCTTATGTGGTGCTGAGGAATCGAACCTAGGGCCTTGAGCATGCAAGGCAATGAGCCACCTTCCCAGCCCGAGATGATCATTTTCTAAACATATACTTTTTTTTTACTGCTTTGTTAAAACTCAGGTGACAGTCAATTTGTAGGGTCATTACTGGCCTTGTCGTCTGTTCCACTGGTCTTTAGATCTGTCTGGAATTGTGATACCTTCTGCTACTTCAAACCTAATGAAAGTATATATTAAGATTACTTGTAAGGGGCTTCAAAAATTCTGCCTTCTAACAACGATGAAAGTTTCTGTCTGATTCTAAAAAGAGATGTGAATTACTTTCTTTTATCAGTACCCATAAATCAAAGTGAAAATGTGTAACCATATACATAATTGTAGACCATAGGCTAAATAGAAGGTGAATTTTGTCTTGGTTTTGTTGTTGTTTTATTTTGTTAGTGGTACTAAGAGTTGAACTTGGGGCATTACACTTATAGGTAGGTGCTCTCCCAGTTGACCCATATGCCCAGCTTTTTTGCCTAAGTTATCTTTGGGAATTAGGGGTCTTGTGTTTATACTTAGGTCAGTCTGAACTGTAGCCCTCCTACTTATGCATTCTCCAGGGGTAGGTATATACCATCCTTTCCAACTATTCGTTGAGATGGGTCTCACTGCCTTTTAAACTGGATTGTCCTTGAACTGTGATCCTCTCACAGATAGTTAAGATTATAGACATGAGCCACTAGCACCCAGATTTTATGTTAGATCTTGGTAGCAGGCAGGTTTCCATATTATAAATTGAAGCCCTTTTTTGTTCTGTATGGTACATTGGAAAGTAATTAAAATCTGGATCATATTTTCAGGAATTGGAAGAAACTATCAGACACCTGAAAAAATGTAAAGAGGCAACAGAGAATAAATTGAAAGAAGCTAGCATGGAATCAGAACAGGTGAGCAAGCCCAAGTTATTGTCTAAATCTTTAGGCACATAAGTCAATATAAAATCTTTTATTAACAAAGGAATGCAACAGGCAAGATCCATTGAGTTCTAAGGTATTGTTTCTATTGTAAAAGTAATTTTTAGATTAAGTTCTGTGTCTTGATGATAGATAATAGAATTCAAAAATATTAATTAAGCCTGATGTCCCTACTACTAAACAGAAGGGAAGACCAGCATGTTTGTGGATTCTGATTATTATTTGACATGAACTAAAAAAAGTGAAAACTCTTGGTTCAAATAAAAACTAATGGTGTAGAGTTTGCCCTATCTAATTTGTAAATGTTATTCTCAGTTCAAAACTTAAATTAACATGTGAGGTTATATTAAGTCATAATTAAAAAAAATAAATCATAATTTTTTATAGTAAGAGAAGATATTTGAAGTCATAGATCTGTATCCCAACCACCTCTCATTTTCTAGATTAAAAAAAATAGAGTTGGGTGTCATGACTCAGACCTGTAACCCTAGCTTCTCAGGAGGCTGAAACCTAAGGATTGTAGTTTGAAGACTGCCTGGGCAGGAGAGGCCATGAGATGTTTATCTCCAATTAACGACCAAAAGTCCAGAAATCGAGCTGTAGCTTAAGTGGTAGTGGTAGTGGGCTATCCTTAAGCAGGAAGGCTCAAGGACAGTATCCAGATGTTGAGTTTAAGCCCCTGGATGGGAACACACACACACACAAAAATAGAGATTCTTAAGCTTAAAATATCACAGTTATATTACTATCAATTTATTGTTTGTTCTCTATTTTAACTGTTACATATGCACAATAATGCTTTATTAGATTTGCATAGGATGGTATATTAGAATATGGATGCTGACAAACCTAAGTTTGAATCCCAACTGTGACACTATGTGTGCTTAAGGAAAATTACATTTACTTTCTTTAGACCATCTATTACCCTTTGGCAAAACTCAGTAGAGTCATACCTACTACTGCTTTATTCTGACAGATAACTCAGAGTGTAAGACTCAGTGAATGTTAACTCCGTCTTGTTTATCATACAATAGGAAATATGATAGATAAAGCCATTGGAGACATCTTTCTCTCCACTGCTGGTAAAAAGCAATTGGAGAGAGAGTTGGCATAGTTGATTTGGTTGGTTTGGTTTGGCTTGTTTTAGGTGTTTCAGGAGTAGGGCCTGTAGCTGTTATCAGAATGCACAAACAGACCTGGAAAATACTTTACCATCAATAAAATAAGTGACACTAAAGAGAGAGTCTCTATTCTGATCTCAGAATAATATGCCTACTCTGTGAGCCGGCTGACGTGGGACAATACCTGACAACCACTTGTTGCCACGGTTGCAGAGGAGGTGTTCTGGGGGGATACCTGAAGGTGGTAGAGATCCAGGAAACACTGACGCGTACATGAGAAGTCGCAAGCCTGGATGCATCTTTAACCCTTCAGGAATACTTTCTCAACTTATAAGTTGCTCAGTGTATTTACAAATAAGATTTTTATTACTTAAGTAAAAAAATACCTCAAATTACTAAGGTACCAAAAAGAAAAAAAAAAAACCTTTTGTAACTGTTTCTCTGTTCAGATAACAGCCAACCTGGAAGAAGCTCACCGCTGGTTTAAGTGCAGATTTGATGGCTTACAGCTTGAGCTGTCAAAAAACAGGTTGCAGAGGCTCCCCCGGGAAGACAGGTGGCTAGAAGAGGTGAGGCTGACATTGTCTAAAAAAAAAGTATTTATTTATGTATTTATTTAGGGGAAGTCTTTTGTTCTGATAGAGATTTGCTAAGTACCCCAAAATGGAATAGAACTCGAAGCCCTCCTCCCTGTCTCTAGAGTACTGGGGACTATATGTGTACACACCAACATACCCAGCTCTCGTGGGATTTCTTTTTTCTTTTTTTTTTTTTTTAATCGGTCGTGGGGCTTGAACTCTGGGCCTGGGCGCTGTCCCTCAGCTCTTCAGCTCAAGCAAGGCGAGTGCTCTACCACTTGAGCTACAGCGCCACTTCCGGTTTTCTGGTGGTTTATTGGAGATAGGAGTCTCACTGTCTTTCCTGCCCGGGGTGGCTTTGAACCGCGATCCTCAGATCTCAGCCTCCTGAGTAGCTAGGATTACAGGCGTGAGCCACCAGCGCCTGGCTTCTTGTGGGATTTCTAATCACAGTAGTTCTCTCAGTGTTCAGCTACTCTCTTATTAATCATTAGATTTCTCTAAATTACCACTAGGAAGCCAATGAAATTACCACTAGGAAGCCAATGAACTAATTTTTATGCAAGTTTCTAGTAGGTTTTCCAAACTAGATTAAAACTACCACTGGAATAAATATATGACATCCATGGAAGCCAAGAGGTCCTAAACATTGTTGTTAGTGTTGAACAGACAGACTTAAGTGTGTGTGTGTTCATGTGTATGTTTCAGCAGGACCTAGACAAAAGGCATGCTATTGAACCCAACCAGTCTGCTCTGCATCGATGGGAGTCAAAGCAGAATCTCGGGCTTATGCCCAAGAAGTATCATTCTGAGACAGAGAGGAAGAAATGACCTTCAAAGGAGCTTCATCATGTGTAGCTACATTTCCACAGTTGGGAGAGCCAGAAACCAGAGTTGGCCTGTTTCTATGTCATAAGAGCATGAAGTCTTTGCTGTGGGCTGAAGATTCCGGACCTTAGTTTATTCTTTATGAACTCTTTTGTATCACTGCAGAACTATCTCATCATCTTGTCCTTGTCCCTATTTTCTACCCAATAAATTTAAATTAGTTTGTTATACAATAGGAAATGCTGTAGAATAATACTTGGCTATTTCTATTACATTTTTCTCATTAAGAATTTAGTATGGTACTAAATCTAAGTAATATGATCCTTCATTAGTACTATTTTCACATCTAGCCTATAATTTCTGGGAATGGAATCCCCTAGGAAAAAATGATAGGAACTCTGCCACTACCTTATAAACTCACACACTTCTATGCTGAGTAATTAACTAACAAAGAAAATTTAATAGTAATATCTCTACTCATAAATAGCACGTCTAAAGATTGCATTTAGAGCTTCCTTGGTTTTTAAGAAGTTTATTGAATGTATGAGTCTGCTCTGCTCATGGACCTATGTTTGATCAATGTCACTCTTATGACTGTAAGCAATAAATTCAATTTTTTTTGTTGTTGTTGTCATGGGGTTTGAACTATGGGCCTGGGCACTGTCCCTGAGCTCTTCAGCTCAAGGCTCTACTGCTTGAGCCACAGTGCCACTTCTGGTTTTCTGGTGGTTAATTGGCGATAAGAGTCTCACAGACTTTCCTGCCCAAGCTGGCTTTGAACCATGATCTTCAAATCTCAGCCTCCTGAGTAGCTAGGATTATAGGCATGAGCCACTGGCACCTGGACTCAGCTTCATTTTTTATTTCAGGTATTTTTTGATGGATTAGGCAATCTTGCCTCAACATACATAAAATTAGTGGCACAATAACTGGCTTAATTAGCATGTCCAAGTAATGATAGTTTCTGATGACACTATTAGAACCAAAAATAAGCAATTGTGGTTTTTGAAGAAATATCAAACGTAAGACTGTCAGTATTTGAAGAGCCGACCACAGTATCTGACATAGAAAGGCAAAACTGAATGTTATTGCCTGCTGTATAGGAAGGGAGAACTCTGCTGTTCAGACCTAGGAGTCTATGAGCAGAGAATTCAAGAATAAGAGGACTTCAGAGGCTTATGTGGGTGGCATCTGTAGCAGAATCACACAGGTAATGCTGCCCTTCATTGGTTAGCATTCAGAGGCATGTGTAGTGAAGGGCATAAACTTCTATTTGTCTGAGCTCAGAAATAAAGGGCTGTCATAAGTTGGTAGCTTTAAAACATGTCCTATATGGGCTGGGAAGGAGGCTCAGTGGTGGAGTGCTTGCCTTGCATGCATGAGGCACTGGGTTCGATTCCTCAGTACCACATAAGCAGAAAAGGCCAGAAGTGGCACTGTGGTAGAGTACTAGCCTTGAGCTGAAGAGCTGAGGGACAGAGCCCAGGCCCAGAGTTCAGTCCCTACAACCGACCAAAAAAAAAAAAAAAGTTCTATAAAGCAAGTTGTCACCGACCTAGTGGGCAAGTTTAAATCTGGTTCTGATCCCTGGGTGGGTAGGATCATTTCATTCTTTGTGTACCCTTGACTCCACGTATCATGTTAGGGTAGCGACTCTATAGAAGCATTTAATACTCAACAGCAGACATTAAGAAGTATTTTCACCTTTCAGGTTAGAAACAATTCATAACTATTTTGGTGCTATAGTTCGAATGTGTCCTCTCCAGAATTCATATTGAAACTTAATCCTCTTTGTGGTGGAATTAAGAGATGGGACCTTGGAGAAGGCAGAGAAGTCATAATGACCCTTGCAAATGGCTTTATGTCTTTGAAAGGGGATGGAGGGAACTAGCTGAGCCCTGTCTCCCTTCCACCTTTGCCATGCAGTGACACCAACCTTCAGCCTCTCCAGAGACATCAACGAGGTGCCACCTTAGGCACAGGGAACTGCCTTGTCACCAGACACTGCACATGCCAGCACCTTAATCTTCTACTCTCCCACCTCCAGAACTATGAGAAACTATGCTTATAGATTACTCATTTTGGGGTATTTTGTTTCAAGCACCTACAATGAATTAAGACACATTTAGTTGCAAAATTTAAAATTGTTTGCACTATCTCCAAGTTGTGGGCTCTATTGTTTACCCAGCCAGCTGAAGTGAGGGGAATATATCTTCAAATATCTCCTCAACTTGCCAAATTTTGATGGACTAAGTCACTATCCTTAGGATTCCTTCTTCAAAAAAATGTATCATCCCTTTGAATTCTTTTTTGCATGTGTGTGTGCCAGTCCTGAGGCTTGAATGCAGGGCCTGAGTGTTGCCCCTGAGCTGCTTTTGCTCGAGGTTAGCACTCTACCACTTGAGCCACAGCACCACTTCCAGCTTTTTCTTTGTATGTGGTACTGAGGAATCAAACCCAGGGCTTCATGCATGCTAGGCAAGCACTCTACCACTAAGCCACTTTCCCAGCCCCTTTTGAATTCTTTATGAGGAGACATGGTCAGTTGAGGGTATTGGGACATCCTGGTCTTGAAAAGGCTAACCTGGAACCCCAGTGAGTAATCTTGTCAGCCTGGGTTGACACTGAAAACTTTGGTCCTTAATTCTATGCAGAAAAGAAGCTATCAGTTACTATACTGTGTTGATGATCAACTCAAGTAGATTGTAAAGGTGTTGCCATGACAGCCACCGCTATGAACCAAGAATATTTATATTCTCATTCAGAGAAAGGGTATCTTTAAGTCATTTTTAATTGGCTGTACAGGCTTCAGAGGAGGAAATTATAGTTAGGTTACTGATCATTTCTAGTAAAATTTTAGTTATTAGTAAGGGAAACAAGGTAACTTGATCAGAACTCTGTAAGCCTAAAACTGAGCATATGATTTTAAAAAAAGACTGAAAGAGTATATAAAGGAGAACATGAAATAAAGAGAGAAGAGAAGAATCTTGGCAGCTCTAGGCTTCTGCTTCTGAGAGTCTGGAAATTTGCTAATTTCAATGAGTATCGCTTTCTGATTCTGTTAACACTTTTTATATTTTTCTAGCGAAATGAAAGTGATTAAAGGACAAGACTTACATAATTCAAATCATAAATAACTTTCCACAAAGTCTAAGCATTTTAAAGGCATCGTAAGTGCTATGGCTTTTCAACAGAAGCATGCTTCCAGCCATCCAGAAAAAAACATCATTATCAACAAATATGTTTATCTCTTAGAATGAGGCAGTAATGTAAAAGTCCACTTGGATGTACTCAGAGTCTCTTACATATGGTTCTAGGTCATATGCTGTCCTTTTTTGTGACAGATGAGACAGGAGATAGCCCCGTCCTCTGCTATACTAAAAACATTTCCATCAGTATTAGCAAATGTCTATTTGAAGCTTTTTCTAGTGCTACTGCACGGTCATCCTAGTTTTACCCAATCTTATCTTCAAGATTCTTCGCAGTGGATTTTTTTTGTTGCTGCTGCTGCTGTTAATTCTTTTTATGGAAACAAACACTTTCCATTTTGTAATGGGAAAGATTTAGTGAATTTAAATCATGTTTCTTGAACTTTTTAATAGATTTCTTCATATACATATATATATATATATATATTTGTGCACAAGGTACCTTCATTGTAAAGGCTTTAATTGGAATAGCTTATTTCATGTGTTGATTTGCTTAATTATTTCTATATTGTGTTTCCATGTTATTTCTATTTTTATTATTTCTACATGATAAAAACAATTTTGATTTAGGCTTTTATTTTTTAAACAGCAGTAATATCAAGATTTCAAAAAGGTATCTGAGGAAATTAAGAAATGTCTTTGTTTCTATGACATTCCAAAGAAGTGAGTATAAGAGTATTGTCACTGCTAGTGTGTATATTCATTCTGTTATTTTCACAATTTTTAATGCCCCACAGAAGGCCACAGTGCAGTTATCTGAAGAATTTGGCTTCTGGTAAGGAATTCTCTAAGAAACACTTAATGATGTTACATAACCAAACTGATACTGTTTCTTGGGGTTTTGTTTTGTTTTGTTTTGCCAGTTAGGGCTTGAACTCAGAGCCTGTGTACTGTCCCTGAGCTGCTTTTGCTCAGAGCTAGCACTCTACCACTTGAGCCACAGTGCCACTTCTGGCTTTTTCTGTTTATGTGGTGCTAAGAAATTGAACCCAGGGCTTCACGCATCCTAAGCAAGCACTCTACCACTAAACAATATTCCCAGCCCATTTCTTGAGTTTTTAATATAAGATCCACCACTAAACAACACTAAATCATAATTGTAGAATGTATAAATGTTCTGTTCAAGGAACACATGTGTGTGTGTGTGTGTGTGTGTGTGTGTGTGTGCATTCTGATGCTTGGGCTCAAACTGAGTGCTGAGCATTTTTGCTCAAGACTAGTGCTCTTCCAATTAAGCCACAGCTCCACTTTCAACTTTTTGATAGTTAATTGTGATAAGAGTCACAGATGTTCCTCCCTAGGCTGGCTTCGAACGGCCATCTTCAAATCTCAAGCTTCTGAGTAGTCCAAAGTACAGGTGTGAGCCACCAGAACCTGGCTAGAAAAAAATTCATTAGCATATACTGAATGTCTAAAATAGTGGATTTCATTATCAGATTTCTCAAATATGTATGTAATATACTTCAGTCATAGTCACTCCATTACCCTCTTCATCCTGCTTCTTCCCACAGTTCTTTCCTTCTCTCAATCTACTTTCTTCAAACTTCCTTTTGTTGTTTAAATTTCACATTTGGGAAAAAAATATTTGTCATTCTGATTCCAGTTTATTTCACTTAGCATTTTGATGTCCCATTCTATCCACTTTCCCTCAAATGGCATCATTTTATTCTTTCTGGCTGAATAATTCTCCATTTTGTATATATGCTGCAGATTTCTTAGTACTACTTCAGTCTCGTTGCTTGTTATAAATCAGTTTATCATTCATAATTTCTTGGTTCAGATTTTCTAGATTTATGAATGTCTACACAGTTAGCCACTTTTAGATTTTCCAATGTATTGGAATATAAAGCTTTAGCATGTTCCCTATGATCCTCTGGATTTCATTGCTATCTGTTGTAATATCATATCCCCTTTTCTTGCTCAGATTTGAGTCTTTTCCCTCTTTTGGTTACTTTGACTAAGAATGGATCAATCTGGC